ATGTAACAACATTGGCCAACTAATCAAAAGGGGTTACATTTTTTTGGTTGGTATTGGGTATCGATTGAGATAACAGACATGACAATTTGCTGTACACTTTTGCAAGTTTTCCATGAACTAATTTGTTAGTTTGTGCAGTATTCTGTTATGTGTTATTTTGCAGGACGATGCATAAGCTATTATATAGTTCAAATATTGGAATACAATAATCCTATATATACATGACATCCTATGTCTTGCCTTTCCAGTTATATCCCTTGATCACCGAATACTTACAAATAGTACCAAGCAAACGGTGACAACCTGCTACAAAATAATGTCCCAATACCAAGGCATACCGTGCACTCAAAATTTGAACAATTAAAGGTTGAAATTACATCAGCGCATGTCCAAGCTAAAATGGCGATTTCTCAAGTGATTACAGGGCAAAGGTGCAGTCACCTGTAAATATATAAATAGCCACTGTCTGTATTAACTTATAGCTATTGTCTGTATAAATAGCCATTGCAAGTGACAAAGTCTACAAAATCCTTGGTGGACATCAGATTCTACAGATAGGTTGCCAGAAACATACGCCCACAGCAGCTAAATTGTCCGGCAGTCAACAAGAGTTGTTGCATATTTTTTCGGTAATGAAACATTAATAATACAATAAAATTTGATTAAGAGTAACAACTCATTAAGTAATTATCAGAAAATCATTAGAATTTGTTTGGCTTTTATAAAGTTCTGCCCCATGCTCAGGCATCGATATTTCCGCGCACAGTGTGCGCAGGCATAATCATTTCAAAAAAAATTTTGCAGGCACATTTTTAAAGCTCGAAATTTACCACGGCAAAAACGGCAAAGCCATGGTAAAAGCCAACGTACGTACGTAAACCATGTCACGGCATAATTTATTTTTGTGTGCCGTAGTAGACCCTATCATCCCAAATTAGTTTAAAGAAAGATGTATTGGTATTTTGTTTATTTAGACTTAGAAGATGTGTAGGCCTTGGTCTATTCATTTTACAATTGGAGGGTCTAGAGCACAGGTGATCTAACAACCAACTAAAATGGTTGGTAGTTAGATCACTTGTGCTCTAGACCCTCCAATTATTCTACGGTCTTTATATTTGTTTATTTGCCGTAAATAGGTCACCCAGACCAATTTACGGCACTCCAATGTTAAAGGTTTGAATGTCGTAATTGTCCAACACGTGCCTGCAAATTTTCACGACGTTTCTTATTTTATTTCTTACTCGTGTTGACCATGGATTTGCTACGGCCCGAGAGTAGGACTAGGAGGACGATGAGAGCTTTCTCAGTTTCTTCCTGACCCGATTCTCATTCCACCGTAATAATAATATTCGTGAGACACGTACACCAACTTTACAAACAAGTCAAATAATACAACGTGTTTTAATTATCAATATCTACCTGTTGTCATAGTTTGTTGTACTCAATAAAAGTAATAAAGTAATATTTGAAAAAAAAAAACCCAACAAAACAACAAATACCGAAAGGTCCTCAACTTATCTATCCAGAGAAACAGAGTGGGGCGGGACAATTTTATGCTCGGTCGGGTGGTGTCAAAAAGTTTTTAGATCCCTGTATCATTGATGAAAATTAAGTGAATTTGGTAAAATTTGAATATATAAAAATGGAAATTGATTTGCACTGAACCAAATACAAAAGGCAGCAGATGCTCTGAAAATACACAAAGGGTTTAATTTTCATAAAAGACCACGCCCCCCTCCCAAAAAATTTTTGGGCTCACTCCGCTCGCCACATATATTTTTACACCACTCACCAAATCATGGCTACATCCCTGTGTTTCAGTATGACCCTGCAGGCTAATGTTTAGTATACAAAACATTTAATATCATGGATTTAGCTGTTCAAGTTATAAAAATTCATTGAAAATAAATATACTTATTCGTCTCAAGATCTTAAACTCTGTATCAATCTAAAGTCAATCGAATATTAACTTTGGCCTCTAGAGCGTCCACAAGAATTTTTGAAGTGATCAAGGGTTATAACTCTGGCAGTAGTTATCAGATATCGCTGAAAATCAATATGCGTCTTCGTCTCATGACCTTAAACACTACTGTGCAGGGCTTGCCACGAGCAAATTGGAGGCGAGTAGATGACTACTCACGCAAATATAGACTTGCGCGAGTGAGGCGAGTACATGTATTTACTCACGCAGAATGATGTGCGTGAGTAGCCATTTAAATTCCATGTGCCTAATGGCAATGCTCTTGTCACTTCGGTGGAAGCGGACGTTGAATAAAGCTATTTCACACACAAAGGCAATGCATACTCTTTTATTTCCTTGGCAGTAATATTATCTGTAAATCGTCTTCCCATGACAATAACGTTGCAAGGGAAACTGGGTTTCCCTTTGCCATCGTTGGCGTGCTGAGGGGATTCGGGTAAAGCTTAAAAAGGTAAAAGAACAGGCAAAACAATTTCAATCCCATCAATTTGTAGAAAAGATGCGGGATCGAAAGAATTGCTATTAATAGAAACGACAACATCCGCTCAATGTTTGATTATCCAGACACGGCAAAGGACATCCGCTTAAAAACCGCCTGGCAGTACGCGTCTCAAAGTATTTTTAGTAACAACAGTTGGAACTGGAAAGACACGCCGCGTGCGCAATAGTGCATCAATATGAAGGCATACAAATTGTTTACGGCTTTTTATATTACGATATTCAATTATTTCTGATTAAATTATTTTTTATATTTGCGCGAGTACTTAATCACTCACGTAAATTTGGTTTTACGCGAGCGTAGCGTGCGCGCGAGTAATTACTCGCGTCTCGTGGCAAGCCCTGCTGTGTATAAATTTTTAAGTCAATCAGATATTAACTTTAGCCTCCAGAGCGTCCACAATATTTTTTGAAGTGATCAAGGGTCATAACTCTGGCAGTAATTATCGGAAATCGCTGAAAATCAATAGACTTCTTCACCTCATGACCTTAAACACTGTATAAATTTAAAGTCATTCAGATATTAACTTTACCCTCTAGAGCGTCCACAAGATTTTTTGAAGTGATCAAGGGCCATAACCCTGGGCGTATAAAAATTCCTATCTCCAAAGCTCTCAGATTAGGCAAGAACAGACAATTCATTACCTTTTACAAGATAAAACCACCAGTGAGTTGCTTAACTCGGAGGTTAATTAATTAGATTTTTTGTTCTAGCTTTCTGTAATGTTTCGGATATAGTCTTAATTATCCAGGCATGTCAATAAGCTGGAGAACATTAGCCTGACTAACGACAAACCCTGGACATGTGACCTATTTTGAACTAAAAAATGTTCAGCTGTTGTGTTCGCTCGTAGTTTACATTCCAGTCTATTCTTTACTGCAAGATTTGGTGACGATAAGTAAGTTATGCCTTGTTTTATGAATATTGCATTGCCACTGTATACTATCACTCAGAGCAGGGCCAGTCGGACCAATGTTTTTGAAATGAAGTGTTATTTTAATAATTTGATAATTGTGTCTGTTTTAATAATAAAATATTTTAATAAATTGATAATTTTTTAATACATTTTTCTTTGTAGCCTACTTACATTTATCTCATGAAGCACAGGAAAAAATCCCAATTAACAAATCATCGAAAAATGAGAAGTTATTCATTTGTACACCGGTACTTGAACTTCTGAAAAGACTATTCTTTGTGGGTAGTATATTTGTCGATTTTTGTACTGCCTTCTATTCCAAGCTTGTAGAATGCACGTCAAAGTTCAGTTAACAATGAGTAGTTAATTTTTTTTTAGTTTAGTTATTAATTCGGACGTAATCATATACTTGGGGAATTAGTCATTATGACCTTATGCCATAACTTCCAAAACAGGTTTGGTTAAAACATCCCCACTTAAAGGAGCTAAATCGCTAACATTTGGGACTTATAAATTGACAAAAGTGGGTCACAACGCAGATAATACTGTAATATGAATGTATATAAACTGATTTACATTCAATGGTTTCCGTTTTTACCCCAATTTTAAATCAGTTATGTTCGGCGAAATAAGCCAGCAGTCTCAATCGAGTGAAAATTTCTAGCGCCTGGTTATTCCAGTCTACATACGCCGTTTGATTTGGTGCAATGTGTCTAGCCTCGTCCCTCGAGTCTCTTGTTACAACTGGGGCTGAAGCCCATTATGGTACACGATTGTCTTACATATTGGATATCAAAAGCCCATCTTTTTCCGGTAAGATCACAACATCAATGTTGATTTAATTTGACAAATAAATCGTGTTTTCAATGTTGAAGATTTTGGATGATATTGAGTTAGAGACTTAGTTACTTTAACTGTTTGGTCATAATGATCAAGGTTTTTGGCTGTTATGGTTTAGGGCCATTATGTCTATAACCCTACACTTGTACTTCAGTAGGGAAGCAGGAAGACATATATTTCTATTTATTTTGGGGCACCATACCAATACTACTTAAGACAAACCAGTACAATTAATTAAATCAGAAAACATTCATTTGTTTAAATTGAATTATTTAGATATATTATATTGCAATGCTAATGTGGTACATGTATTCCATTACTCATATAGGCCTAGTCATATACATGTATTAATGATAGCCCCCCCCCCCCTTTCAAAATTCAATGCAATGGGCGATTGATGGCCTTTGCTTTATCACCGGTAGTTCCGGTTACCGCCATACGATGAAAACTTTTACGGGTGTGTCTCATTAAAATAATGTAACTTGTTCACAATAATAATGAAGTATGTGGTGGTATTTGACATACATCTATTGAGTAAATCATCCTCCCGGTCCGCCAATTCGGCCTAAAGTAAAGTACTAAGTAGGCTAGTCAGGACAGAGGCACCACACCACTCACCAGGCCTTCCACCAAAAATGAAAACATTATCAACATTCAAATTCTGCATCTTGATCGTGGATTATTCATAAAGGTTGAACTAATAAATAACTAAGTTTAATATCACAGCTTTTTAAACAACAAAACCATACCCTGCGTGTACCTACCAAAGCTATTGTTTCATCTAATTCAAAGTAGGAGTTCGTCTTGCAAATCTTCTTCCTCCAAAATGGCCGAAGCGTGGTCCTTTACGAGCATGCGTGGAAACTTGCAATAATTAAATACTTCCGGTTGTAGATTAAACATCAAAATAAAAGGCAAGAGCAAAGTAAAAGTTTTATAAATCAGGCATTAATGAATAAACTAAGGTGTCTGTTTGTTATTATAGTTACATAGTAGGCATATATATTTAGCACCCGGTTCGTCTGTGTAAAGAAAACGCCCTCTAGTAGTAGTACTGTAGTCAGTAGTATAGGTGCGAGCTGCAAGCGATGTATGTATGTACTTTTGTAGGCCTCACTCAATCAATGCCACTGGATTGTCACAAAAAGTCATCGAAAAGGGCCTAGATCTAGATCATTTTATAAATTTTCATAACAGAAATAAGATATATTGAGACCCCCAACCACCACCAAATCACAGATTTATTCTGATGGTGTAAATAAATGAGTTCATTAAAGACAATCAAAAATATTATTAGTAATTAGTGAAGATAGCACCCAAACAAAATTTCTTGACCCCATTCATTCAAGCAAATGGCTGTTGCAAAATAGGTTTTATATGAAAACAGGGAACCAACTGGATACTTACCTGATGTAGTTTCACTAAAAGTCAAATTGTTTAGGCCCTACAAATAATATTGTGTTTAATTAAACAATTACGTTTTTGTTTAGAAAGACCAATTGGAAATCAGCTCTTTTACAGATTAACGTTCTTAAAACCTATGGGCCTACACATTCTCTTACTGGTATTTGAGAACATTTATCAGATTTAAAATTTTATTAAATAACTTTACGATTGAAATAAATATGCTACACTCGTACCATGTTACTTTGGGAACTTATACTAAAATCAACTTGACAAGACGTGCATTTTTTAAAACATACCGGTATGTAAAATATAATTTGTGGATGAGTTAGCTCTTAGCTGACTCTTTTAAATACAGGTACCAATTTGAATACAAATAGTTAATTTGTGTTTGTGACAGAATATTGGAGCACATACTGGTACCAATTTGAATACGGTACTAATAGTTAATTTGTATTCTGTTACAGAATGTTGGAATACATATGTACAATTTCTAAAATGACTGTTTATTTTAGGAAATAAAGCACAGTTTCAAAATTTTATACATTATACAGTACATATTTTTTATCGAGCTAATTTTTCAATAATCTAATTACCAGTAGCCCTCCCAAGCATTATGTTTATTCCCAGATAGATTGAAGCCTTTCTGTTAATATTTTTCAGGTAAAGATCTAAAGAGAGGAATGAGTGAAAAAATAGACTGGAGGACTGATGCTGAAGATATATTTAATTTCAATGCACAATGTGAAAATTTTGAAAGCAATCTGGATGCCAATATCAGACCACGGAAGTTTCCAAACCAGAATATTGTAAATAGATTAATGTATAGAGAAACTCATCTCTCAAAACCGGGCACACATTTTCATCAAGCTCGAAAATTCTACACAAATGTCTTTCCAAATTACACAATTACAAATGTTGAAAAGCCACCATGCTTTTTGCGAAAATTTTCACCAGATGGACACTATTTCATAGCGTTTTCTGCTGATCAAACTTCAATAGAAATATATGAATTTCAAGGAGCTGCTGCTGTGGAAGACCTTTTATGTGATATGAAGGGAGATAACTTAGGTTCTGGTAATGATGAAATTAGAAACAAATTATTTAAAAGATTTTTTCATCTAAAACATGTTACTTTGGTTGCTTCAAATTATGAACATTTGAATCGAGAATGCAGTTTATTTACAGATGATGGAAATTTTGTTATTGTTGGTTCTGCTGTTTATTTACCAGAAGAGCCACATCCTTTGTTCTTGGACATTTACAGAAATAATGAATCTGTTTCTCCGAATACCCGGTTTCCTTTAGAAGATTATTCTCTTCATTTAATAGAGTTAGAAACTGGTCGACTGTGTGATAGACGAAAATTTAAGTGTGATAAAATATTTTTGTCTCACAACCAGGGAATCTATTTATATAAAAATACTCTAGCGGTTTTATCAGTGCAACAACAAACTATACATATCTTCCTAGTCACACCTGAAGGTTCCTTTATAGACATTCGTAGTATTGGGAGATTTTGTTTCGAGGATGACGAACTGTTTCTACGACAAGGACTAGATCCACAGATAAGACAACATCTTCAACGACCATACCATGAAAAAATGACCAATTCTCTGAAACACAGACTGTTAACTTTTCTGTTTCATAAAGCTAAAAATGACCCCTATCGATTACGTTTATTCTATCAGTATTTTGACCAGTTTAAAGCATTACGGATGTGGAAAATGCAGCTATTAGATGAAAATCATTTGTTAATCAAATATGCTGGAGAAGATGTTGTAACTTTAAGAACTCCAGATCCAAATTCGCAGCCATCTTTCTTTGTGGTTTATAACATGACAACAGCTGAAGTCTTGGCTGTGTATGAAAACACTTCAGAAGAACTTTTAAATTTCTTTGAAAATTTCTGTGATATGTTTAGAAATGCCACACTGCACACGGAAACTCAATTTACTTGCTCAGCATCAAGTAATATCTATGCTCGTCAAATTCAACAAAGATTTAAACAGACAATAATAAATGCTAAATTTGGCGGACAAACAGAAGCAATCAGAAGATTGTTAGCTCAGCTTCCTATTAGTGCTCAGTCTTATAGTAATAGTCCATATTTAGACTTAGCTTTGTTCAGTTATGATGATAAATGGATTTCGGTTATGGAGAGACCAAAAGCATGTGGAGATCACCCTATCAGGTATAAATAAAGTTTTACATTTTTAGGGAATATATTGTACCCAATTTACTGTTCAATAGGCACAAGCTAACATTCCCATGAAATGATTAATTAGGTAGTTATTTTTGATACAAAGTATGACAATTTTTGTACCCAAATACTGGATTCCCTGAAAAACACCCATGGTAAAAAGACAGCGACTAACGACAAATGCAAGTTAATAATGAATTCTCCTTTAATCAAGTCACATGATAAATATGACTGATTAAAATAGATTCTCGCGGCATGAGTTTTTAGTCCAAACATATCATCAAATCACAAGGGTTGTACACATCTTTAATTTAAATATTTCCAACCCTAATTACCTGAGGGCATAAATCATAACAATCCATCCTGACTTATTAGAATATATGATGAATTATTTTCACATCATTAGATGCATAAATGTTATTTATATTTCAGATTTTACTCAAGAGACTCTGGTTTATTGAAATTTAAAATCCATGCTGGATTTTTAGGACGCAATCCTCCACCCTCAGCAAGAAGACTTGTAGCTTTCACATTCCATCCTAGTGAACCATTTGCTATCAGTGTCCAAAGAACAAATGCTGAATATGTTGTGAACTTCCATGTTCGACATTGTCTTGCATGAAGTTAGTTTTTCAGGAAAATACATATTGAATTTTATAATTACAGGAACTCTTGATATACATTTGTATTCAAATTAATTATGTCAATTTAATGAATACATAGTATCATAATGTAAAATTTATTGTTCTTGGATTATAAAAAGTTCAGTTGTTCTTGACGTTTTATATAAATAATCAATGTACCAGTAGCAAAAAATAATATCTTTTGTGAAAGCAATAAATAATAACAGACAATTTTATGGATAAGATTCACTAAACTGCAAGGTTTGAATGAGGGTACTCTCGCTGTTGTCAAGCATTGTTATTAGCCAAAAATAATATTCCTATTTACTCCAAAGATAAGCTTAAAATAGAAACAAGTCTTTGCAAGATACAGTATCAATTCAAGTTAAAGTGTTTAAAGTCAGCCAAAAATTAATTATATGTCTAAGTGGGATATAATTCAAATAATATAATTTGATTAAGAAAATCATGAGAGAAGGAGAAATCCTGAAATTTGAAAGTCCAGTTTTAAAATTGGTGAAATCTGTTAGATAAAAAGACTGCTGATTACCAAATTCCTCAATATATTGTACCTGTATAAACAATAAAAATAGGTTTCCAGAATAGAACATACAAAATACTAGACAAAACATTCTTTCTAAATTTTGTTTTGGCATTATTGACCTTGTAGCTATAAGTTTTGATGTGTTCTGTATAAGGCAGTGCATGTATACTTTTATTTTACTTAAAGGACCTAAATCGATAATATTTGGCACCTAGAAATTGACACAAATGGGTCGCAGCGCATACAATAATGTAATATGAATGTATGTATATAAACTGATTTACATTCAAACATTTCCGTTTTTACTCTAATTTCAAATCAGTTATGTTCGGCGAGATACGCCAGAAGTCTCGGTCGAATGGCAATCTCTAGCATCTGGTTTTTCCAGTCTACATCGATAGTATTTATTGCATGTGCTCTCAAGATAAGAATATGTCGTCACCGTTTGACATGACTTGTGGAATATGTCTAGCCTCTTTCTTCGAGTCCCTGTTACAAATGGCGCTGAAACGCATTATGGTACACGATTCGTGTACCAATGGTAAAATGTTATTTTGTCTTAAATAGTGGATATCAGAAGCCCATATTTTCCCGGTAAGATCACAACATCAGTGTTGATTTAAATTGACAAATAATTTGTGTTTTTAATGTCGAAGACTTTGGATGATAATGAGTTAGAGACTTAGCTACTTTAAACCTACATTATGCAAGAGGTAAATCTGCCTATTGCAAGTCTTTCTTTAGGCCTGAAATGTTATTTAAACTATTAATGACACATTTATTAACAAAACAAGACCATAATCAACTCTCAATGGCATCGGATACTCGCGATTTTAACTAGATTAGAACGGTTCGCCATTTGAAAATTTAATTTGAAAATAGGAAAGCGAGGCCAAGTCGCGAATATACCAGTGCGCTAGTTACCACTGTGCACACATCTTGTCAAAACAATAAACAGTGATGATTTGGCTCAGAATGAAGTAATTTGGCTGAAATTTTCAATATTTTCTTTTTTAATCATCTATTTTTTAATTATTATAGCAAGAATGACCAACTCTTTATTAAACTCTTAACTAATGTGTCTTTAGTTTCGGCAATTTTGGAATTCCTGTCATTATGCTTGGACAAGGCTAGAGTTACTCATTACTAGTTTACATGACGAAAAATTTCATCATAACCTGTTTGTATCTGGTCACAAATGATTGTTCTATTTGACAGAAAAAGTCGACGTAAGCTACCGAAAAAGAACTGGAAATTTTCTGTGACTAATTTCAAATATAATAGCTTGTACCAGACCATAACTTAATGAATGTGTTTTTGCTTAGAATCAATACTGAGACATAGTTCCAGTTATTTTTATAAGCTGCAACAAATTTGTCAAGTGTTGTTACAGAAGATTTACATGCATGTAGCAGTCCGCTACTAGAATGGGTTTGGAACAAGACTTTAATCAAATTTAAAAGTGGACCGTAGGATTTAAATTCGGTTTTTCATCTCAAAATTGATACTGAGATACGGTTCAGGTAATTATTATAAGCCAGCAGGAATTTGTTAGACCAGATAGGTTACTGAAACATCATTGGAACAACCAGAATTTTCTTTTATGACTAAAATTGAATTTAACAGCATGGACTGGTGAAAATTAAGATCGAGATACAGTCTTGGTGATTTGTATAAACCAAAACGTATTTATAAATAAGCCTTATAGTATCTCATTGTCAGTTCTCATTAAGTAACCTGATTCATAACTTAATGGTGGAAAGTCGCTAACTCAATATCATCCACAGTCTTCGACACTGCAAACACGACTTATTGGTCAATTTAGATCAACATTGATGTTGAAAAATTGTTGTTATCTTAAAGATGGGCTTCTGATATCCAATATTTAAGACAAAATGGAAATTTTAAAATTGACACACGAATAGTGTGCCCGATTAGCTTTGAGTGCCATTTGTAATGAAGTGACTCGATGAACGAGGCTAAACATATCACACAGAGAGTACTACCGGTGCAGACTGGAATAACCAGACGCCAAAGACTGCCATTCAATTTGGACTCTTTGCCAAACATAACTGATTAGAAATTACTGGAAAAACAGAAGCGATTGAATGTAAATTAATTTATATACATTCATATTACATTATTATATGTGTTTATATGTCCATTTCTAGTTGCCTAAGAATAGAAATTTAATAGCTCCTTTAATAAAGGGCTCTATTTTTTGGAATCTTAAAATAGACGAAACTGGTTCTAAAAGCACACATTGATGTAATATATATTGTTATTTCTAATAAATTTTCAGACTTGGTATCCCAGTGGTCTCATTCCATTAAACTCCACTAACTCCTGGGTTTATCCATGGGGGAGACAGGTATTCAAATTATCTGCTTTTGATGATTGTGCTATTTTTATCGACCAATACGCTTGATAACATCACGACTTTCCACTGCCAGTTTTTTTGACTGACATAAAAAAATATTTCCCATCAAAGAGATGTTTTATGACATCGTTTTGTGTGCATGTCAATTCCTTGCAAACATTCTCACAATCGAGCGAAGAAGCCGCCATATATTGTTGTGAACGTGTAAGCAATATGAGGCTAAGACTGTTTTTTGATTGGTTCGTAAAATCAAGCTACGATCAAGGCCAAATGATAATTGAATATGTGAACAACCCATGGTCATGCCATGGATGAACCCTGGAATAGAACGGAATGAGATCACTGGGGATACCGAGGATGTTCAATTATGTTCGGTAAACGAGGATGTTCAATTATGTTCGGTAAAATATGAAGTGAATCAGACTTTACTAATTACTTCCACATTGACATGTACTTACTACTTGTAGCCGTTGTAGGATATGTTTTCATTCGTTCATTACAAAATAGCACCCGAAACCATATACCCGACTCATATAAAATGTTTAATTTGTGTCTTAAATATTGGATATTGGGGGATCCTATATTTTCACAAGATAATAACATCAATATTGATTGAAATTGGCGAATATTGAATTCTAATTCCTGTTTTAATTATATATGGAAAATATTAATTTAGAGATTGTCGCTCATCAGTACTTTAAACCATATTAATTATTACCGGTATTCATCCTCATTTAGAGACAATATTGAAACTATTTCCTGAAAATTGCAAAATTAAAGAACTTCCACACATTGACCGCAATAAATTTATGGTATGAAGATTCCGTTGTTTCGGCTAGGTTTTCCCACGAGCAGACGATACTTTTTCACGTGCACGGTGTGTATGCGTAATAACGGGACCCGGGTGGAATAAACCAATGAAAATCGCTATAACTGTGCTAGCTAGAATTTGTCCAATGAAACACGCTAAATCGACTTCTAGCTGACAAGATTCATTTACATCTGAACTGAAATGGCGAGATAGGGTATAGAAATTCTAAAAATAGTATCTTTGTAAACTGTTATCGTAAAATGTAATTATTTACTATAGTTTACTATAAAATAGTAATGGTCGCCGTTTTTATTTACATCATCCTAACAGCTGGACAATTATGAGCGCTCCATCCACATCAAAAGGGAGGAATAAGTATAAGATTGTGATCTTAGGAGACGGAGGGGTTGGTAAAAGCGGTAAGTTTTCTGACGATAGTAGACCCCATTGCATTATTCTAAATATTAAAACGGAACCATCAGTGTGTCTTCAGTTGTACAACTAAATAGTGTTCCAAATATTCTAAGCATAAACCACATTTGAAAGAAGAAGAGAAAAAAAAACTGTCACGTAAAAGCGATTTAGCTATTTTCCTTGCGTCAAATGACGTTTAGTGTAGTGTTGATAAAAATGTGAAGTTTTAAGTCTCTTAAATATGCTGTTCGTGTTTTCTGTGGAATTTACGGATGCATTGTAGACATTTTTTTTCTTTTCCCGGAGACCAGAATTGCATGAAAACAAGTTTCTCTATTGAAAAAAACTAGTTTTGGGAATTCAGCATGATCAATTCAAAAGAAATGCTGAATACTTATTATGATAGATGTACCACACCCAATCGGTCATATGATGAGCATAAGGATAACTGATAACAATGTGATCAAAATTTCCAGAAACTATAATGTATAAGATATTATCTATGACTGCATTATACTATGAACTGTACAGTAATTCCCATATCATAAAGCACATCCTGTATGGAATAAATTTTGAATAGTCATCTCAGTGGGTTTGAACTTTGACATTTAAATGAATTAGGTACTGTAACATACAGGATGAGACATCTTCTTAGTAAACATAATATGTGGGGTGGTCAAAGTGATCATATGGCATTTCATTTAGTCAGCTGATTTGGTTTCAAACTCTCAATCCCAAGCTAGTAGGACTATATGAGTAGGGTTGCCTGAAAAACCTCATGCTTATCCCCACAGCTAAAGACCCCTGCACTCAAGCAAATTCTTGAAATAAAATTATACCATATTACCCAGACATTAATCAATCCATCTTTGTCCCTGATAAAGTTTTATAATAATTACAGTACTATAGTTTTGGGAATGCATATCAGTATTCCACAGTGCAATATCATTTATTCCAATAAAGCACAACAAAAATCACACAATGTAATATACAGTATTTAATTGAACATGTTGATATATGGATCTATTGTGTAATACAAGTGTATATTGCTCAATTACTCACATTGAATATACATATAACACAGGTTTTACAATACACAATGTTTCCATGTGTGGTTAATATTTAACAGTAGTTGGGGGTTGAGATGGCCTAGTGGTCTAGAGTGCCCTGCTTCGACCTCTAGCTGGCCGGTCACCTCAGGCTTGCGGCTGGTTTCGATCCCTGGTGTGAGCGTATGTGGCTTGGAGATAGGGGCGCCTTCACAACATCGTGGGTTTACTCCGGGTACTCCAGTTTCCTCCCACAGGAAAAGACCCCTGTGCATGTGCTAAGATAATAAAAAAAATAATAAGACTTATCTGCGATATCACCTTCGTTGGAGTGGACGTTAAACACTAAGAACAACATATAGAGATTAAGTATACAGGTGAATCTGTAATTTCTTTTATAAAGTCCACATATTTATGTTCAATACTCTGTTATTTTTATGGAATACTGACTCTTTCTGGAACATTTGAAACCACATCTCATTTGAAGAGAGAGAGAAATGGGGGTTTAACTAGGTCATTTTGGAACTAACAATATTGTACAATTTTATTTAAATATTTCACTTGTGTTGAGAAAACCCACAAGGTTAAACAGGTAACCTTACTCCTTATCACATACAAGCTGGGGGATCAAATCCATGACAGGTGACTCAGTGGCAGATCTTATGATCTAAAGCACACACATTAGATAATTCTCACACCTGATCGACTGAGTAAAGTTGTTTGATTTTGAAAACCCCCCCAACAAACCTGATTGATAGAACAATGAACCAGCCACTTTGGTATCTTAGATCATTCTAGTTTCAGCTCATTTACAAATAGTTATTAGTCTACTTGTTGATTAAGAAAGAAGTCAATCGTCCGATAATCTTTAACATTCAAACCTTTGTAAACCATGGACCTTGTAATAGGGCTATGGTAAAACTAAATCATGCTCCCACCCTCACAATATCTATGAAAAAGGCAAAAGACAGAGTCATACACTTGTGATTGTTATATTCTCTATGGATTGTAAGAGGATATTCTGAGATTTTAGAAAAAAGAAAACTTAAACAAAAAGTGAGCCTGTACAACATAGGTCATGGATATATGTTATGTTTGTATATTCAAAATCGTTTCATTTATAGGTTGTAATGTTTCAACCGAAAAAAAAGTATATTGTGGAAGTGTTTGTCTTGAACTATTAGCGTTGGCCCACAGTAAATCTTGTAGTTGTACAGATGTAATATAGTATATACCAGATGTGTATGTTAATCTCTGAAGGCAATAAAAAGTCTGCAAAAAATTACACATTTTTTGTTAAAATTCATCGGCCTATATTTAGGCTATATCCAAGATAATATATCAACTCCTAAATGAGAATACAAGAATTTGTGCAAGGTGATAAGTGGAACACAATATGTGGAACAAAAAATTAAAATATACTTAATTAATTTATTGCTAGCTTTAATTCAATTTCTGCTAGCTTTAATTCAGTTGTTACTAGCGATGATTCAGTTAATGCTGGCAATAATTCAGTTGTTGATAGCAATGATAAAACTGTTTTTGTGAAAGTAACAAGTTAGAATATCTTGAACACAATATTAAAATATATTAAATTAATTTATTGCTAGCTTTAATTCAGTTGTTGCTAGCAATGATTCAGTTATTGCTTGGAATAATTGAGTTGTTGAAAGTGATTATGCCCCTTAAAGTAGGATAGATGTAGGAGATTGTAGGTCCCCCAAATGTTTATTTTAGTATCATTTATCACATGTCTATATATTAGTAATTCAGACCAAGGTTTACACTATGATATGACTATATACTTATTACTTATCAATGTATACACTCTATGGATCTGTTGAATAACTCTTTTATACATCTAACAAAGAATACCTTGTTGACTTTGGGTGGGCTATGATTTGCTTCTAAACTTTCTTCACATTAGAATCAAAGTTGAAAGCCAAGGTGGTGTTTATGTTTTAGTCAAACAAAAGAGGAGAACCAACATTATTTGGTTCCAGTATAGGCATATTAAAAAGGTGGTTAAGATGCGTGTGGGCTGCAAAATTTTAATTTTCAGCATTAATTTAAAAAAATTTAAACAATGGTAATATTTTCGGTACATTTTCATCGATAACATTTCTACAGTCCTCCTAGTCTCATAAGCTCTTTTACCCCATTGACCCCATTGCAGTTTTCAAGTGCATAATGCACACACTGCCAATTAGTATAGTCCATTTAATTTGCAATCAATGAACTATTCAATATCCTTTATTTTAAAAAATAAATGTCCCCTGCCTCTTTGAAATCCTAGATAGCCTTGATGTATACTACAGACAAATTGTATAAAATGTACAAGTTAATTATAACAAGAATTGGCTAAAGTTGTGTTTATTCTTTAGTCTGGTTGTGTCTGGGTCTATTTTTAGAGCTCAAGCCAACCAAAAAGTAGTTAGTTATATGTGCAAAGTATATACCCAAATTGTTGACTATATGTTTTTATGTCATTTATCACACAATTATAATCTAGTATATTTATTGTATTTAAAGCATTTCTTTTTCTTTCAGCCCTGGTTATTCAGTTTATAACACATCGTTTTCAAGAGTATCATGACCCAACCATAGGTATATATATCATTTTAATCATATAAAGAGGTTATGTGATATAACAGATCACCATTATGCATTGATCATTACCTTTCCATTATAAAAAATCTTTTTATAATATTTGAAATATCGAATTTAGAAATGCCACTACATTGTAGCTTATTGTTTTGTTCCAGAATATTGATAGATAAGTCGTAAAAAGGTCGGAAATGTGTCTTTGAAAAAGTAAATAAAATATAGCCAGATTGGAATCTGCATGAAAATTCTACAACAAAAAAAAAACTTTGGAGGTTTGTGAAAAATGACAGAAAACAAGACCTTGTCTTTCTGCATCTCCCATTGGTATTCAACAATTACAATTGCTAAAGATACAGACCCTTAGGACAAACCATGCCAGGTCATCTGTCTGGACATAGCTACATATTGATAACAATGATGTCACTGAATAAAGACATACTGTTATAATCTTCTGGAAGAAGTAGACCTTGAACTGAAAGGTTGAGACACTTGTCTTGTTAAAGTCACTGTAGTCAGTACACTTGAGGTGTTTACACAACATGATGAAATGTAGTGTCGTAATATTGACATGCTTGTTGTTGTTTTTCGTTAGACCAGACTATCTTTGGACATGAGATTAATGTCTGACTCTCAATGTAGGTTAATGTTTAGCTAACATGTATAACCATTTTATCTTGATATTGTATATAATATGTTTGTAACTGTGACGTAGTGTTGCATTACTTGTCTGTAAGAAATGAAATGATATGAAATGGGGTTTAACGTCCAACTGTTCTGCTCCGAACTGGACTAATAAAGATGGGCATACGCCATACAGTGTGTTATGAGGGAATCTTTCAACTGCACTTCAATGTGTACACGGGACCTCGGTTTTTTGTCCCATCCGAACGACTAGACAGCTGTCCTTGTCAGGCCCTGCGTCCTGCATCACTGACAAGGGGAAACTACGTCGGAAAATCTGGATGAATATTCTCTGCCAATGCAGGGATCTGTCACTCGACCTCCAGGCTAGCGTCTTACCCACTTAGCCACCGTGACCCCCCTTGTCTGTAAGAGCATCTGGATACACTATTATGTGAAACTGGTGCTTATTCGGTAAATAGACCACAATTATGATAATATACTAGTAAGCTGTTTGATTTATATTATGGTATTCACAAGGCAGGATATGCTTTATCGTTTTAGAACACTTCATACTAAAGCCAACTAAATATTATGATATATGTTTGAATATATAATTTATTTACTTTACAGAAGATGCATATGAGCAACAGTGTCGTATTGATGGTGAACCAGCCCATCTTGATATTCTGGATACAGCTGGCCAAGTAAGAAGAATGCCATTGATTTTATAATTGTTTAATTATAGATATCGACCCCAGTTAGAGGCCCCCAAAAAGGGGTGGGGGTGGTATATGAGATCCCCTTGGTATGTCTTTTAACAGCAGATCTCCTAGCTACAAACACATTAAAGTTCAAAATTTAATTTAATTTTCACTAAATACAGAAAATGTGCAGACAACCTACACGAAACAAATAACTTTGGTTAATGGTCCGTTACCTGACCGACTTGTAAGAAAATAGAGACAGAGATCGTCTACATGCCGACATAGATCCAGAGAAGTTAATTTTTGTTATATGAATTCAAAAGCTTTTGTACCCGTCATGATATAAGACAAACTACAACTAGAGTCTACATTCTCCACAGGCCAATGGTGAAGCCGAGAGAGCTGTCCAAACAGCAAAGAAATATCTTGATCAGTCCGATCCACAAATTGCTCTTTTGAATTACTGACTAACCCTAATAGATAGGAGTTAAAAGATGAATTATGTAAGATTTAGATAAAGAGCTGAAAAATGAATATATTGAAAATTTCATTCAAATTGATTAATTCTGAGAAAAGTTATGAGTGTTGGAAGATGCAGCTGGGATTGTTTATTATATTAGCAACGAACTTGACAATAAACAAGACTAAGTCTCAATTATCCATTTTATCACAATGGGCAGATTTAGCTCTTACATAATGCATATTTAAAGAGTTATCTGAATTTAAACATACAGTATGCAAGAGCTAAATCTGCCTATTGCAGTTCTTCCTTTAGGCCTGAAATGTTATATAAACTATTAATTAGACATTTATTAACATGAAAAGACCTTAATCAACTCTCGATGCCATCTTATGTGTCGGATTTTCACTGGATTTGAATCCAGTCTGCTGCTGAACGGACATTGATGATTAAATCAAAAAAAGGATAATCGAGACTACATGTATGTTTTTTATCATACCAACTTTAGTAAGGATGATCGATGCTAGGCCTAATATTCAATCGCTAATGGAGCAATTTGACTGAAATTTTCAGCATATTCCCTTTACATTATCTAGTTTTTAACTTATATAGTGAGAACTGCCAGCTTGTTATCTAATCTTCCATAATGCCCCTTTAAACTAGGTGATAAAATCTTTATTAAACTTGACACTGATAAAATAATATGGCTAAAACCAGGAAAAGTTAGATGGAACTGCAGAACCTAAATTGTACATTGTAGAAACATACTATGGAACTTACCATTATAATAGGTGCCATCTTCAACATATTGGACTGGCTTTAAAATACCAATGGATGACCACGATGATTATTTAGATATTGATATGTTATTAATAACAACCATATACTTGAACTACCGGTACTTCAATCACTGAGACTTCAATTGTTTTATGTGTAAACCTTTCAGATACAGATAAACTGTACATTTAAAACTGTAAAATTGTGCTTAAAAGCATTGAGCTGTACTATCCAAGACATTATTTTGAATTGTGATATTGTTACATTGGCTTTGCAGATTTTTTAAAAAACACAAGAGACACAAAATATCTCACAAACTTTGTACTAGAAATTGGTGATTTTTCTTTGTAATGAATAGTGATATGTCTTCATTGTAACTAAGCTATAATTTCCAACTCATACTAACATCTTTAAGACTGGCAATGGATAGGAAATGCAAGATCATTCCCCCTCCTCATCCTTCCTGTTCATTCGTTCCTTGAGTTTTACGTCCACTTCCACCATCCCCATCATGAATATTTTTTTCAACTTGCCCTCTGTGTCTGCAACTCAACAAAATAAAGCTTTGAAAGTTTTTGAATTTTTTCTTTTCAGCCCGAGTTCACAGCAATGAGAGAACAGTATATGAGGAAAGGAGAAGGATTTATTATTTGTTATTCAATAACTGATAAACGCAGCTTTGATGAAGTTTTAGCGTACAAAGAATTAATAAATCGAGTAAGAGGACATGAAGAGATCCCAATTATCGTTGCAGCTACAAAAAGTGATTTACAGGAGAAAAGAAAGGTATATTAAGTTTCATTTTTTTTAAAAATGTGGTACTATATTGTTGTCACATACTTCTGTCCATCGTTGACAATTGCTTGTGATAATGTTATCATCGGATTGATTTGAAATTTATACACCAAGGTATTTTGATGGACAGAGAGGTCTATTGATTTTCAATGATTTCTGATAACTCAAATAGCTAAAGTCATCATCAGAATACCAGTACGTTTTTTTTATATAATAAATTGTAGCACTAGCAAGGACTAGAAGCAAGTTTTGACCTATCAAAATTTCAAGGATTTCCTTCTATACATTATAGGAGTTAAATGTAGCCAAATATAAAGTTCGAACCTATTGGAACATGTACAGGTATGTTTGACATTAAAAGCAACCTCTTTGATGGTCCTAATAGAATACACTCTGCTGTACATAGCATCACAGTTAGGTTTTTTTTTGTTATAAGGATGTTTTTATACCAGATTTCTATATATTATAGGTATCAAAAGAAGAAGGTGTAGCTCTAGCACGACAACTGGGATGTCCATTCTTCGAAACATCAGCTGTCTTAAGACAACATGTAGATGATGTGTTTCACGGAATTATTAGAGAAGTCAGAAACAAAAACTCGGAACAAGGTGAAAAGCCAAAACATAGTCGAAAAAAGATACATTTGAAACGTGTCCGTTCATTTTTTCATCAGATGAATATTTTTAGACGCAATCGTTCCCATCGTACGTAAATGAAGCTTGCAATCATCTTGTCATTTGTACTTATTGTAATTTATAAATATTTATATTTTATTTATAACTTTAAATTAAATGCATTTGATATTTATCATGTTTATAGGTATTGTGTGTGATACTTTTTTTATTGTATAGCCTATATGTTTATTTTTGAATGTTTATTAGATATACCTCTTGTTATTTTTTTTAAATGCATTGATATTATTTTTGAGTGATATTTTTAAAATAGAACTTGTATTTGTCCACCAGTAGAGCGTGTGTTGATTAAATGTTGCTTATTTGTCAACCATATGGAGGTTTAATATATAATAATTTTGTGGAACTCACATTTAAGGATTTGGGTAAACTGAAAAACTGCACTGTATAATTCTTTTAGCGATTACTAAATTGGGGTGGATTTTAATCCGGGTACTTTTTTTTATATAAGATTTTCTAATTTAATACTTAAATAAGAACCTTGATTTCTGTTGTGTAGATGTTTAACTTAGAAATGGGTACTGCAGAAACAACGAATGAATGAAATGGGGTTTAACATCCTACTTTTCTGCACCAACTGAGCTAATGATATAATGGCAATGTCAGTTGTTCAAGTTGAATTTTGCAAGATTTGTTCAATTTTATTTTGATTAAATTTTCAGATGTTGGCATGTGTACTATGATTAATCATAAGTAGATCAGTTGTACTTAAATAACAGACAGGAATTAGGACCAGGTATACGATATTACTGGACATAGTGACTCAGTGATTGAGATATCAACAATGGTGAAAGTCTGTCTGCTTAAAGATACGTTATGGCAGATTAGATAAAGAGTTGGCAGTTCTCACTATAATTAGCGATGACATCGAGAGTTGATTATGATCTGGATAAGTTAATTAATGTCTAATTAATAATTTAGATAACATTCAGGCCTAAAGAAAGACCTGCAATAGGCAGATTTAGCTCTTGCATAATATATGTTTAAGATATTTGTGTTTTTGAATAATATAATTTAGCTAAAATCTGACTTGATAAATTGAACTAAAACATTACATCTAGTCAAACACTTAACTTTGATTTGTAAACATTTAAAGGACAATTTCCCCTTTTAATGAAATATTGTAATTTAACCTAGGGCGATCATGTGTGTATATATATATATTTTTTGCTGTGTTATGTAATGCTGTAAAACACCAAAGTAACTTTTTGTGAATTGTTAAAGCACAGCCATAAGGTTACATATTCTCATAAACTCTTTCATCAATTAACATAGCGACTCATGTAATCCAGTTGTCAAACTTCTATAAACAAGTGAACATGGATTGTCAAGAATTAAGGTCCCTGAAATGAAATGGGGTTTTAACATCTTATTTTCTGCACCAATGGCCCACTGAAGATGGGAAACACTTCAGAAGTTATTTCTGTGAAATACTGACTGAAGCTATTTTTGTTCTGAAATTTTTCCATTTAGAATCTTATGTGATGTGCAATAATAGTTAGTTTCATTGTGTAAATGTTTCATTATATTACAAGGAGGTTTAATTGTGCTGAAATGACAACGTGTATGTCTGCTTTGATCAGTCCATGTGGTAATATCCGTTATATTTTTGCATGTCAGGATACACAATTTCTATCATTTTTTCAACAACGTTAAACCTCCCTATTACTGCATACAGATAAGAGCAGGGTATGTAAAATGCCCCGTAGGTAGATCATGTAGATGCCTTCAATTTCTCTGAATATACCATCTGTTCAATGTTACTATATTTGGAATCGACTGCCGAAGAACATTAGAGTAGTCCAACATTTTATCAATTTAATTGCAAGTTATAAAAAGATATGTTAGGTATTATAAACACTTGTCAACAACTTAGAAATATCATTTGAACATTAGGAAGCACCTATAGAAGTTAAACCATATTTGATTTCTTTATACCTAACACAAGACAGGACAAGGCTTGGAGGACATTTAGTACTTATTCTGCTCAGTTTCAATTCAAATGAATGGATGTGATATTTTAATAATTGCATAATTACATTTATAATTTCAATAATATACTAAGTGTCATTGTTGTTGGATTTATTGTACATGAACTTATGAATTGTCAACTGAACTAGAAAACAGATTTTGAGAAAAAGACATCAACTCAACTTTTTCGATACGATACATTTCAGGCGGTTGCCAGTCTTTGAATCAATTTGCATATAAAAATTCAGGTGGTCATTCTTAAAGATGGGTTCCCGCGTACAAACTGGGTGATTTAATGGTATATATGGACCAAAACCATATTCAAACTAATTAATTTGTCATAATTATACTTCAAATCCTTCTTAAACATTGTAATTGCGAAGGAATGCCCTGCTATTAAAATTCGATCAAACCAGGTCATGTTCACGTCACGTCTTGGGAGTCAGAGGAGAATTCATTGCATACATAAGACGATGTTGTCTTTAATCGCTTACTATTTATTACAAATATCGAATCCTAATTAAATTCTCGGATTATCCACAACCCGCGTCTTTTTCCGTCATTTTTATCTCAGAAAGTATTGTACGTCTAACTCTTCATAAAGTTTATCAACTTGTACATCAAGCGCTCAATGTTCGCTTGTGACCTTTGACATCATGCGTGCAGAAGTTCCTAATCGTCGGGCTGTTGAATAGGGGAACCCTTACATTTTTGTCCTGTATACGCTCCATGAATGTTTTTCGGGGAATCCAGAATTTTTCTAGTAAGATTGGATATCTCAACTTTCCATATATACCAAAATTGCCATACTTTTATTTGAAATAACCACCCGATAAATACTTTTCTGGAAACCCATCTTTAAGCTCTGCTGTAAAACTTAAAATTTATGTAAAGGATTTTGCCACTTAGAATGCATGGTATTGGCCATTCCTGATTGCATGATAAGTCAAAATCATAAATCTCTATAGCTATCGCATAAACAAATATACTTTTATTGGTGATATATCAAAATGTTCAGTAGGAGACAGTATAAAATATCAATGACGTACTGAACGATATATACAGGTTTATGGCAGGTGTTCTACTGTTGTTTGTATCAATGTGGAGGTTTGACACATAAATGTGAAATTATATAATTTATAAATCTGTTTGGTTCCATATTTTCATAACGAACCCACTGTATAACCTTTACCATTACCATGATGCTTCCCTTCCCCACCCCCCCCCCCCCCCCTAGTTTTTATGAAACACTCTGCTAGAAAGCTTTTGAACAACCCAAACTATTTATCATTATTATAAATCTTTATATTTTTCTTTTACTTATTAGATATACTTTGGTATATTGATTACTGTATTGTATATTATATATGCCTGCCATTTTACTTGCAAACATTTTTAGGCTAAAGTCTGTTTTCTTTACCACAAAATGAGATGCCAAGTCAAACTACAACATGGGTACATCACTTTATGAAGAATGACAAAAAAAAAAATTCTGTCATTCACTATGTGGCATACATGTCTTACAAGTCATTTAATAGTTTATACGATAAATTTAGACAGCATATCGGAAGAATACAAGGTATAGAATATATTGTTTGGATATACGCAATTATATTATAGAGTAAATGGTTTTAATCTCATTTTTCATTATCCAGACATTTACCTACATCTAGAAGTGTATCTGAAGCTTGTCTTTCAAATAAAAATTAGGGATAATAGGTTTTGTTTACTTTTTTGTGCCCCGCCTTTCAAAGGGGGGGGGGGGGCTATTAAAATGGGCCTATCTGTCACACTTTTTGGGACACAATAACACTCCTAACTGAGCTAGAATGTTCAAACTTTGTGTAGGCATTTATTAGGTGAATGCCTTGATGGAGTTCGAAGATTGGCATTTTCTGCTTGGGGTAAGCCGAGATATAATAAGCCATTTGATTAGTTGATACTTTGGGACACCTGTGCTTCTAATTAAGAGTGATCAAACTTGGTGTATAGTTTCATCACATCAATACCTTGACTAAGTTCGATAATGAGCATTTTCAACTCGGGGTAAGCCGAGTGATAAGCAATTTGATGGAGACTTTAGAGATCGACAACTTTGATTCTAATTGTGTGATAGTGATGAAACTTCTACTATAGTTAGTTTCTTTACATCAATACCTTAAAGTTTGATGCTGAGAATTTTCTAATTAGGCAAAGTCGAGATGTGAATCTGATTGGTCGAGACTTTGGAACACAACAACTCTCCTAATTTGAGGTAGGATGTTCATACTTGGTGCAGGTACCTATTAGGTGAATGCCTTGACAGTTTGATCATGTGCATTTGTCACTAAGACTAAGCAGAGATAAGCAATTTAATTGGTTGAGAATTGGGAACACGATTAACTTTGGTTCTATATGGGTGAAAGCAATGAAACTCCTGAGTATAGATTCATTATCTCGACTAAGTTCGATAATGAGCATTTTCTGCTTAGGCCAAGTAGCAATAAGCAATTTGATTTGTCAAGACTTTGCTTTTAATTGAGGTAGAATGTTATTAACTTGATGTAGGTGTTCATCAGGTGAATGTCTAGTCCAATGATTAACATTTCCCACTAAAGCTAAGCAATTTCATTGGTCAATGCTTTGGGACAAGATAACTGATGGAGAATGATGAAACCGTGTACAATTTCACTACCAAGTACTTCAGAACCTTGACCAAGTTCGACAGTGAACATTTTATGCTTAGACGAAGTATAGATAATCAGTTTGATTGCTCGATACTTTTTAAAAGATAAATGGGCAATTAATTATGTGTCCTCTAGTTTGGGCTTTCAGCGGGGGACATCATCTTCAATGTTGGCTTGTCAGTATTCTGGTTATGATTAATGTGGCTATCAGAAGCCAGGTTTTCCTTAAAGGGACCTTTCAGATCAGTGGATATATAAAAAGCAAATAAGTCCTTTGAGATCTGACAAATCCAAATTTATGTGCATTAAGATAATACTGTTTATGGAACTGTACATCAAAACCAGACCCAACTTTTCGAGAGTAAAATTTTGCGTAGAATACGATGCCGAGTGGTAATCGGTCCGCCGCAAAGTAAAAGTTCAGTGCTAAGACCCCCAAAAGACAAATTTTAAATGTTCCTATTATTAATTAGAACAGGTTTCGCTTTAGTTTTTATATTTTACGTTGACATTTTATTGCTGTAAATCTTCCTAGTGCAAAAAAGATAAATTTCACCTCTTGACCTCCAGGGTCACTAAGACTAAAGGTGAATTTAGCAAGTTTACATTTTTACTGAAAGTGTGATTACTTTCGGTCATTTTCAGCTTCTTTTCATAATACAAGAATGACTGCGCATTACCACTCGGCATCGTATTCTACAAAAGATTTTACCCTAGAAGAGTTGGGTCTGGTTTTGTGCCCATTTGATGGAACCCCCCCCCCCCCCCCCCACGCTGAGCCTCCAGTCTATATTGAATCCTTGTCGAAAAAGAATCGGCCCCCAGTCAATTTTACTAGGCAACTTTTTACTACTAAATGGTCATGTGTTAGTCCCCAGCTTTCCTAAATTTTATTTCGTCATATACGTCCGAGTTGCATATATTTGTGTGTTATATATAATTAGATTTCAATGCCTTCTGCACAGCGGTTTAGCAGAAGGGGACGTATTTTTAACAGCATGTTGTGTTGCACATACTGACTCTAGCGAGGCAAGCAAGGTCAAATTCTCACTAAAATGTTCCTTTACATTGTTCAGGCGTTCACAGAGACTGACAGACTGGGGGACGATTCTTTTTCGACAAGGATTCAATAGGACGGTTCCTGAATATACAAGGCGAGTGTAATGAGACCTACGTTCAGATGCAAACCAATCGGAACTTACTACTGAACACTTTTGGTCAACCTGTGTGGAAAAAAAAAGTGTCCCAACCATTATAGTCAGCTGTTTCATCCAAATATGTTATATTTGTTATTCATGAGCTAATGTCCTAACCCGCTTCCAAAATATACCAGTGGGGTTTCTCTTAAACAGCTACTCGGTTAACTGCTCACGGTACGGTTGCACAGGTGTTTCGGTCAAAAAATATTACTGATATTCATTTTCATCTATCTGACCTTCAAACCCATACATACCTGATGTTGCACTGGTCATTTGTAATAAATCACAAAGTCAAGTCTTTAAGTTTCCCTTTTAGGCACTCACATTGAAATGTGGTCGAATCTTGTCCTCGCCCTATTCTTTGTTGATGCCTTAGAGGCTAAAGTTATCCGATTGACTTGAAATTTATGCACAGACTGATGTTCATTCATAAGGCAAAGAAGCCTGTTGGGAGTTATAGAACGTTAGTACAGTACTAGGAAATCTAGGAGCCTATCAAATCTTAATTACTGCATGGGATTTTACCCGTTACCAGTTGTGAATGCTCACACCTATGTACGTATAAAAACACAAGAGCCTTTATGGAATGTTTAGTAGCTGTGGGCATATGATTTGTTGCCCTGGCCAACCTACCTTACTGTTATGTTATATTGAACAAATTAAAATCCTTAATTTAAAAATCCCCTTCCTGGAAAAATAGAAATACCCCTTTGGTTGCTATTTTTTGACACAAACTTTCCACTACTACAAATACCCCTTTGGTTGCTATTTTTTGACACAAACTTTCCACTACTACAAATCGTGAACATTCACATTTCTTGTTTAATGCATTTATTAAGAAACGCATCAATATTAACATCTGTACAATAATTTTGTTGGTCTTTGTCAACGTACAACTAAACGTATAAATATCATTATATAAAGCAGGCCCCTTGATTTTACTATTTTGTTAAAATAGGTACGTTTAATCAAATGACCATTCTTCCTTCACTTTCAAATATATCTACTTTTATCAGTCACAAAATAACAGCACTAAAAGTCTTGGTGATTTTTAACAGGTTATGCATTGAATCCCGATAAGAAATTTATTACAATTCCTTTTAATTTTTCTTCTGAAGCGTCTGAAATTTTTCCTTCAGTGGCAATGGTTTTCAAAAGGTCAGTTTGGCTACTTCTAAGATGTTTCAAAAACTCAGCCTCAAATGATGTGATCTTAGATGGGTCCAATTTATCTAAGTGACCTCTGACACCAGCAAAGATGACTGCTACTTGCTCTTCAATGGCCATTGGAACTGAAAGAATAAATTGACAATGAGATTCAAAATAAAAGCCTTTTAATTCCGCGGATCTATTTGGTACAAGCAAAGCATCAAATCCTTAATTATTTGAAGACCTAGATTACCGTTATTGCCTCTCAAATTTAATGAAGGACTTATTCCTGAAACAATGGCCCGATAAAGCCCTCTGGCCACTGCTGGCTGCACTTGGAGCTGGAAGTTGGGGTTTTGATGGAGCATGTATATTTCATTTTTATCGTCCAATCAAATTTCGTCATTCTTCCATTCTTGGAAGTCCTAGTTGGGAGTCTATTCAGTTTGTTAAAACAACCGATACATATGTAACATCCGTCTACTTTCATCTGGGGTCTTCCCAAAGACTGGACAGTTGATTAAATGCATTTAAAAAGATGGGATTAGTTCTAATCACGAAAGACAGCGAGGAGTATGATGAAAAACGGCATTTTAGATTTAGTTGGTTTACTATGTATACACAAATATGTAACTTGTGAGCAGGGCTGCCGACAACCAGTATCGCAGCGCAATTTGCGATACATATTTCGTCCGTTGCTAACCAAAAATTAAAATCTAATGTGTCTGTCATTTTGGATATTGTCACAAGAATAATCCACATTTTGAAGACTAGAAGGCTTACTCAACACTTTCAACGTGTATAAAATGTTGAATAAAATTTTATAAACAAAACTGAATTCTCCGTGTGACATTTTCTTCTCGAACTACCCAGACACAATACTATATAACACAGGGACATAACTCTATGAATAGGGACTATTAAACCGGAAATAGGGAATCAAGTAGTCGCACTCACGTTGCGAGACATCAAGTAATTATATCATATTCATTTTGAAATAAATAACTCTAGTGTATCGCACGTATTGTAAATAAAATATAAAAAAATAAATACATGTTAACGTAACGTAAAATGATAAATCAAAGTAAAAATTCCCGTAAAATATTATTGTTTATATCGCGTGTGTCTAGTTAATCGAGGTGCGCCCGATTGAACAAAAATAGTAATACACGATAAAAAGCAGACGAGATCGTTTTCTAACGAAGATTTCTAACGTAACAAAAAAATAACAATTAAAATGAGTGGGGCTTCGGAAGTCACTGTCAAGAATTGGCTTCAGACATAAGACCTAACTAAATGTCTACATCACATTTATAAACTGTCACAAGTACTTGTGGCAGTGCTAAAAAAATCTAAGAATAGTCAGAATGGAATCTAATCATATTTGTTATGAATTAAAGTAATATCTAGGTATTTACATTGAAACTGAAAAACTTCTAATCAATTAATAAATTTGCTAATCAAATTTGGCAAAATTGGACTTTTTGATTAGCAGTGCTGCTAATCAACTGTGAAAAATTACCGACAGCCCTGCTTGTGAGGTAAATAATACCATAATACCATACAAAAACTTAAGTACATACCATATTGTCCTTGTTTGAGCAGTTCTGTAAGTCTGACACCTCTGTTGAGTAAATTTTGTGTAGCTTGATCTAAATCTGAACCGAACTGAGCGAAAGCAGCAACTTCACGATATTGAGCCAATTCCAATTTCATGGAACCAGCAACCTGAAAAAAACATAATTTTATTATACCTATTTTATTTAAGTTAGAAAACTAGTAAAATTTGGGATACAAGCGTCCACTTAACAAGCATTTTAACCCCCCCCACGCCCACCCACCGCCGCAAAAAAAAAAAACAACCCAAAGATTTATGTATAATTAAATGGGATGTTATTTTGAAGAGTTGTTGGGAAATTAAATGCTTGTAAATTGGACCCTCATCAAATTTAATGGGTCAGCTTTAAACTGGACACAAGTATAAATTAGATGATTTTGGGTGACTCGGGTTACAGGGTCACATCTCTATAGGTCACCTCTCGTTGAAAAAAACTATGTTCTGTGATTGACACCCTGCCATCTTTTCTGATGGTCAATACTGTGGCACCCCATGTACTTTATTTTGTTTGCTCAAACTTATAATCTATATCATATCTTATATCACTGGATTGACAGTACTGAGAACCATCATTGCAACAGCATTTTAGGATTAGAAATGAAAAATTGTAATTACCTGTTTCATGGCTTTAGTCTGGGCAGCAGATCCTACTCTGCTTACTGATAAACCTACATTAATGGCTGGTCGGATACCTTTGTAGAACAATTCAGTTTCCAAGAAGATTTGTCCGTCTGTGATAGAGATGACATTTGTAGGAATATAAGCGGATACATCACCAGCCTGGGTTTCAATAACTGGCAAAGCAGTGAGAGATCCACCTTTGTTATCTTCATTCATCTTAGCAGCTCTTTCCAAAAGACGAGAATGGAGGTAGAAGACATCACCAGGGTAAGCCTCACGTCCTGGGGGTCGTCGAAGTAAAAGGGACATTTGACGATAAGCCACAGCCTTTAAAAGAGAATTAAAATTGATTGCTATACTTCTTATAATTAATCTTGTAATATACTATTCAAAAAAAGTAGGGGATATTTGATTTTGGGGGCATAATACTAAAATATGCAAATGACTACGAAAAAAGTCACTATAGAACCTAACAGAAGAAACATTTCCAGTTACATGTGACGCCCAAACGCACCAATAGCTACCGCATGGAATGCAGGTGATGCTTGGGATCATCATGGGGGTCCAACCCAAGATTTGCACGACTCTGACTTTGAATGTTACAGTCATTGTGGCATTGAATTCCAGGGTGGAAACATCAGTTTAATTGTTTTAGTGACCAGAAAACAAATTTTGATATGCGTCGGCTTACCCAAAATGAAAGGTTACGTGCCCTTGTCATGCTACAGATCGGCACAACACAGGCGGTTGTGGCGCGGACGATGAATGTTTCTCAGTCTGTCATAAGCAGGCTATGGTCCAGATACCGTGATACACAATCTGTACAGGACAGACCACGCTCAGGTCGACCAAGGGCGACAACTCAAGCCCAGGATCGATTTATCCATACCTTGGCCTTGAGAAATCGTGTCATCACAGCAAATCAGATCAGCGCTCGTCTTCAAACAGACACTGGTGTGAGAGTGAGTGGCCAGACGATTCGGAATCGACTGCATAGGGGTCACCTTCGCGCCGACATCCTCGCGTGATCCCTTGTTTGAAAAATCATCACATTCAGGCAAGACGTCGTTGGTGTAGGGATCGTCAACACTGGGATAATCGACCCTGGAGCAATGTGATGTTTTCAGATGAGTCAAGGTTCACTGTTGATTTTTTGGACAGACGTAGGAGGGTGTGGCGTCGTCGAAACGAGCGCTTCCAAGACGTTAACGTCATCAGACATGATCAATTTGGGGGTGGTTCTGTTATGGTGTGGGGAGGCATCACTGTTGCTGGAAGAACGGCTTTACATGTTGTTGCAGGGCGTGTTACAGGCCAGTACTACCGGGACAACATCTTGGCAGTCCATGTTGTGCCGTTCGCACGACGTCATGGCCGCCATTTCATCTTCCAGGATGACAACGCAAGATGTCACAGGGCCAGGATCGTTACAGGTTACCTCCAACAACAGAACATCACCACATTACCTTGGCCAGCACTGAGTCCCGACCTCTCCCCCATCGAGCATGTCTGGGACATGCTTGGACAGAGGTTACGTCAACGTCAACAACGTTGCGTTGCAACAGGAATGGGACAATCTGGACCAAAATGACCTTAGACGTCTCATTAGGAGTATGCCACGTCGGATCAATGCTTGTTTGGCAAACAGAGGAGGATTTACCCGTTACTGACTTGGTTGTGATGCTGTGGTAACTTTGCTGTTTGACCCCGGGTATCATTTTACCCTTATAATGGTCAGTCTGTGCCTTACTTAGTCTAACGATCATTTGGAATAAATCGATGAATGTGAACTTCATTTCATTTTGTCATTTGTTTCTTCGTCAGTTTCATTAGGTGACTTTAATAACACTTAAAAATCAAATATCCCCTACTTTTTTTGAATAGTATATTTTATAGAACTTGTAATTATTAAGGAGCATTTGAATAGGCAATCCTATTTAAATTATGTAGCACCATGGGTCCTTTGTCTGACGTGGAGAGCGTCTATGGGAAACCGGTCGCCACATCCTACATACGACCCATGCATCTTTTCTTACTACATATTTCTGTAGCCTTGTGATCGTCTAGAATTTGTCTCTAGTTGTCTTTACTTCTGCTTCACGTTGTGTATTTACTTCTTCCAGTTTAAGACGTTTGTCTTACCAGGAATAATAATGCATAGTTCGCTTCTACATTTTATATAGCATATAACTGAATACAGGTATACAAGCATAGCACAAATTACAATACTATATAGCTAAAACCACTTCTCCACCCTATCCAGCCTCTTGGCTGTCTAGGAACTCAGATGTACCCTCGATCTCTGGAATCTAATGCAAGTCTGACTTACAGGGTTCCCCGGTTTCTTTTAAAGGTAAATGATAATCATGCACCATAAAGCGTGATCATGGCCCTGAACTTGTGTAATTAACAAAATGATTGGTTACTTTAAATCAAATGATGCAATTAGAATAATTCCACTCACGTGTAATTCTGGTGGTAAATGAGTGACATATGTTTTCGATAAATAACTCTTTTTTATGTGTCAACTGTCAATTACAGACTAGGTTGATTTAAGTATTTTAAGTACATATCACATATTATGCGAATATGTTATTTCTCGAGCAAAAATTCTACTAAAAGTATTACAATTAGTAAGGATTTTACTGCTTAAAACTTCTCTCATTTCTTGGATGATTCCAAAGAGGAGCCAGTTTAAATGTTCAATGAACACAAACAGGGTCATTCTCAGACTAACATGGTATATTTGACTTTATGGTCTTGAGCAGTAGGGGAATAAAAACAGAATCTGCATAAACATAGAAGGTATGGCTGGTGCCACCAACTCGTATGTACAATCATGAGATAAAACTTCGGACAATCACGCAAGTGCTGGAAACACCCTTCAATCTTCAAAAGTAACTTAACCTGTTTCATTGTTCAAGATATCAAAGTCACAAAAACAAATGTGTAATCTAAGAAATTAAACAGATGTACGCCAACATACAGTAAATATAATGAATGATATTTTACCTGTTTGGATAAATCATCATAGATGATCAGAGCATGCATACCATTGTCACGGAAATATTCACCCATAGCACAACCAGAATATGGTGCAAGGTACTGTAGAGGAGCAGCATCGGAGGCAGTAGCACTGACAACAATGGTGTATTTCATGGCGTCTGAAATTAGTTTTATTAAATTCAAAACAAATCAAGACTTTTTTAAAATGGCTGTAATAACCAACACTGATTACAATATCAGTTTCGTGGGTGTTCTTCACTTCCTTGAATTCAGATGCCTAGTCTTTTGAGAAATTAGCACCTTTTTAAAGCAGTACCTTGTATTATTGGATAAAAACAGCTGGTGATTTAGGTCCATGCACCTGAGTTTTTTTTACCTATTTATATACGAAAGACTAAACAGAATGCAAATTCGTCGCCTCTACGTAATGGTTCCTGGAAATTCTTTGCCGTAAGTTTCCAGGTATTTTTGTCTGACATTTGTTTTGGAAGCCATTTTGTTTGTCTTGACGACCGACACGGAAGTAGAAGTCGTAAATTATTTATACTGGGTTTTATTTATAATTGTAATTTGGTTTTTTTTCCCACATGGAAAACCGCTTGAAAACATTTTTTATCAAGTCAGAAGGAAATATGGCTAAGGAAGAAGCAACAACGTAACTGGCAACTAACGGTAAACCCGCCGTGTACTGTCCGAGGTGTGTATGCGAGAATGGCTCCGCGTATCCGCGAAGTATGCAAATTAGGCACGGCCTATGACGAAATAACCACATGACATTTTAATCTCGATTAGTCCAGACATATTAGCTTATTCCATTTTATATTAATAATAATCGAGAAAACTGGAGACATGTTTTCGGCTATTTCTGTCGTTTTACCGCGAATTATGCAAATTAGACACGGCAAATGACGGAAATAACCACATGACATTTTGATCTTGATTAGTCCAGACATAATAGCTTATTCCATTTTATATTAATAATTATAAGGAAAATATGACACATGTTCTCGACTATTTTCGTTGTTTTACCGACTCATACTACGGCAAACAGTATCGCCATCAGATTCACAACAAACAGCAAGAATGCCGAGACAGTCGTCAATGTAAAAATAAAACGAGAGGGATTTTATCAATCAAAAAGGTCAGGCATGAAATATAATAAATTTCTTCCAATAAATTTTAAAAAACAGAATTATAAAGAGTAAAATCGGAATTCAGAATTAGACTCAGAAAATCGGAATGATTCCGACAAAATCGGAATAGTTGGCATGTATGTATAGTATGTTGATTTGCCAAATTCATTTGTCACTGACCACTACAAATCATTCTGAAGATATTTACATCCTGCAAAGAAATAAAATCAGGTTTATAACGTCCTACTGTTCTGCTTTGACTGGGCTAATGAAAACGGGCATACGCCATACAGTGTGCTATGAGGGAAATTTTGCCTACTCTTACATCAAACTGCCAATGATCTTTTACGTGCAGGCCAATGTGTACATGGTACCTCGGGTTATTTTCCCATCTGAATGACAGCTGTCCTTGTCAGGCCCTTCAACCAGCACCACTGACAAGGGGAAACCAGCACCGGAATCAAACATGCGACCTCCAAACTAGCCAGCCAGCGTCTGACTTAGCCACCGTGGCTCCCGATCCTGCAAAGCCTATCCAGTATTCTGTAAGACTGGTTAAACAAACAACATTTACAAACCTGCATCAGTAAGACGTTTTACTAACTGAGCTACGGTTGATCTCTTCTGACCAATAGCTACGTAAATACAGTACAATTTAGTTTTCTCATCCGATCCTTCATTAAAACGTTTCTGGTTAATAATTGTATCTACAGCAATGGCGGTTTTTCTGAAAGGTAAAATCACACTTCTGTCATTTAACAATCAGATTTTCATTCAGGAAACAAGTGTTCTTGTAGACATTTAAACTGTGCTCTAATATTAATTATAACTTGATGTCCTTATTTACAAATAAAAAGTGTATTTACCCAGTCTGACGATCACCAATGATCAATTCTCGTTGACCTCGACCAATTGGTACCAAACTGTCTACAGCCTTAATTCCTGTCTGCATAGGTTCTTTTACGGATGTTCTTGGAATGATACCTGGAGCTTTAACTCCTACTCGAGCACGGTTTGGTGTTCCAATTGGACCCTATAACAAAATACATCAGTGCCGGTGTATGTTACATCTATATCACAACAGTTTCAACAAAATAATATTAAGTATTGTATGTTATATATATATATATATATTTTTTTTTTTAAGCAATATTTTTATTCAGATTTGTATCTGAATAGGGATTGGGGAACAGGCATACCCTATATTAAACCCCTCTCCCTGTCAGATATAGATACATTACATGTATTTACATTTTACAAATAAATAATCAATGTACATGTGAAATTATGATTATAGTGATAGCTGTCTCTGTAATGGATTTACATTTTAGAAATAGGTAAGTAATGGACAAGTGAAAATATAGTTACGAGTGTGTTATATTTGTCACTTGAACCGTCTGGTGATTTTGTAAAACGAGTGAACAATTTGAAAAATATTGAGTGAGTTTTCTAGGTCGTCAATTCCGTGCAATAAGACAGTAGTGTTTCAATGGATAGTCGGTAAATTATTTATTGTATTATTTCGGGCATCTGAATATAAGGAGCCATTCAATAAAAAATGCTCAGTATCTTCTAAGTGATGACCACATTTACAGCATGGATTGTCAGAAATGTGACATAAAAATTTATGTCCGTTTAGATTGCTGCAAGAGAGACGCAGTTTACAATGAATGTTATAAATTGGAGATAGGCAATAATAATTAAATAAAAGACATGGTTAATAATGACATGATTGGTAGGTTTCTTAACATTTTCTGAAAAGGCTTTACTATCTTTTCTATGTCTCAGATTATTGGATACAGTGCACAGTTAACACCACCATTGCCTACGTGAGGTATATTGTTGTTAAAAAAAAGTTGGACTGATAAAAATGGCTCCATAAATTACTTTGAGGTTTCTGTGCTGGGATTCCCCTATCAACACCTCAAGCATAATATAAACTTAGCCTTACCTTTCCATCAATAGGGTTACCTAAAGCATCTACAACTCTTCCTAAAATTTCATTACCAACTGGTACATCTACAATAGCTCCTGTTCTTTTTACAATATCTCCTTCTTTGATCAATTTATCATTACCAAATACTACAACACCAACATTGTCAGGTTCTAAATTCAATGCCATACCCTGCAATCACAATACATTAAACATGACATTTGAGTATAGACTAAAAGGACGCACAACTCCAAATTCCTACTGATATGGCAATTTTGATGAATTTTTGGTATAAAATTGAGAATGGGTTTGAATTCACACTTCCTGCCAGGTTTTGGTGAATATTCATGATTTTAAGGATGGAGGATAACTGATTTAAGAGGTTGGTTACGTTGACGTGTCGGGCAGTTCAATTTGTACTAAAAATAAACTAAAATGTTTAACCCAACAAAAATTGGGAAAAAGAGCCAGTCAAAAGTATTAACATTAAAGTCATTGGTAAATCGATGGTATATTTTTCATAAAACATCACTTTATGAAGTTATCAGAAATGAAATGAAATGTTGTTTAATGGCACGTCAGCTCCAACCGGGCTATATTGCGCCAAACATATGGTGATTTATGCGAGACAAGTTAAATAAATATCACAGAAAAAGTATTATATGCATAAATAAAAACAATATCACAGTAACAGAACACAATTTTTATGGGAAACAATCACTGGTTTTATTCTAATAGCACGACGTTTCGACAAGTATCCTCTTATCGTTATCAAGCACAATGACATTTAGTAAACTTGGATTTAATATATAAGAGTTCATGATGAAGCCATTTACAAAAATTAAATAATAATAACATTAAGAAGTAAAAGATTAAGCAAAAACAACACAATATAATAGACCCACGGTCCAACCAAAGGATAATGTTGACTAACAATGAATGCCTTCAAAGGGAGCCATTGGGTGAAACCATATTGCAGTTAATGAGGTGATCAAGATGAGAACATTCACCAAGAAATACAAACACAACATAACCCTACATCCATTGTCTAAATAAACATGAAAAATATATGCGTACTAATCCAGGAAATAAATGATGTTAAACAAATGTAAACCATAACAAAATATGAAAAAAACAATAATAGGAATAAATAAGCAATATGAGGTGATTAAACATGTATAATCACCTCATATTGCTTATTTATTCCTATAATTCTGGTTGAGGCTCTCGCTTCAAAATGAAAATATGAGTTAAAAAAGTATGACCAATGCGAGAGCGGCACAAAACAACTTCATCCCTCCTGCTGGTTCTATAGGAGCTTGGCCAATCTCCTAAAAGAGGTTTAATGTGATGAAGTTTATTTGTGCCTGCAAGATCCCAAGACCGTTGCCAGCGGCCATAAATGAAATTATTTATAATAAATTTAAAATCTTTATATGGCATTAAAAATTCAGATATGGGAAGATCTAAAGCAGACTTGGCAGCCGAGTCTGCTTGATCGTTCCCTTTGATATCCATATGACTGGGGAGCCAGCAAAGGACAATGTCCTTGCTGGTACTCTCGAATGATAGTAGCAGACGATAAATGTCTGCCACTAATGGGTGATCAAGCTGTTTGTTGTTTATTGCTTGTAGGGAGGACAAAGAATCAGTAAATATTATATATTTAAATATAGATGATTGAATGAACTCCAAGGCCTGTAGAATGGCCTGGAGTTCAGCTGTAAAGATGGAAGAAGCAAGTGGAAGGCGGACAGAAATTGTCTCAGATGGTGTCACAGTAGCCGAAGCTACCCGATCATCATCTTTCGAACCATCTGTATATATTGGATCATAATCACCATATTTAGACCTTAGCTCTCGAAAGAGAGACTGAAACACTTATGAAGTTATCTCCCCATGTTCCATCAAATATTAAACAGTAACTAGGCCATTAACAATTTGTGTTATCCCTAAATTCCATTCCTACAGATAGCCTACTACTAAAAATAGAATATTTCTTAGAAAAATAAGATGTCAAGGTTAGCAATTACATACAAAATTTCCAAAAAATTTAGTTTAACAGTTACCTTTAGACCACTGGAGAATTCCACCATCTCCTCGGCCTGGATATTCTTTAAGCCATATACACGAGCAATACCATCTCCAATAGATAATACCCTACCAGTTTCTTCAAGATTGGCTTCAGGAGCTTGACCTAAAATTCTATCTTCTAAGATGGATGATACTTCAGAACCTGCAAGAACATTTTAAATAATAAATTTTTATAATATGAAAAAAATGAAATATGACTCCACACTCCACAGCAAACAAGTATGCCAGAAATATTGCATTTAACAGGATTAGTTTGAGCATTTTGGCATGAGTTCCGTTAAGCTTATAAACTTATTGTTAGAAAATACTGGACAGAATCTGAAATCTGAAATCTCTCCAGCATTTTTTTCACATCCTACAAACTGATATATGAATCTAACATTTTCTGAGTTTCAGAAGTGCTTGTTAAGCTTTGAACTACGGTACACATTGTTATAATAAAGTCAACAATTTAATCCAATTCCTTACCCCCTGCTGCCAATTTTGGCTGTGATGTAGAAAGTTTTCTGGCGGCAACCATTCCAGCACCCAGGGCATATTTAGAGACCTATAAAATAGAAGAAATTGTAAAAATATGCATAAAAGCTTACACAATTTTATCAAAAAATTAATGTAGTAATTCACTTTCAGTGAAAAACTACATGTAAGACAATTGATTGGTTGTTGGAGATTCATATCTTGGACCACATTGAAGTTGCTGTATTCAAAGGCTGAAATAGCAGGAAAACGCATCTGTGGCATTAAATATTCTTCCAACGGCCCCGTCTGCGTGGACTATAAACGATTGGTTGATCGAAATTCGAGTCAGCCAGCTTCATTAGATCACTTAAGCTGCTGTATTCAGGGCTGGAATAGCAGGAAAGCGTGTTTGCTACCGTCAATTATTCCAAAATTTTCTTGGAGGGGAGGGATCTACACAGTAAGCTCCGCTTCCCCACTCTCGCAGAAGACCGGCACCGCCGTCTGTACCCTGAAATTTTTGGGGGCATTTCAGGTACTGGCCCCCTAACTGTCATCAAGCCTGTACGCCTATAATCATATGATGTATGATTTTAAAGAACTAATATAATCCAAGACTGACAAATTAATTCATTACTGAAAGTAGTCGATGGGTGGAAGAATCCCTGTACAGTGCAGACAAGATTGGATCTCAGTGATATAGTTGGTGACCAAAAGTGAAATAATAAAGTAAAGGTGATGCCTATTTTCCGCAAGAACTTTTAGGGTGATGGAAATCAAATATTTGGTATTGGTATATAAAGATTGAAGTTGGCCAGTATAGCAAAATTAGAATTGGTAATCAATGTGGGGGAGAAAATAGTCTAGATTATTTCTGGATACACGGTAGGCCCTATCCTAATATCTATAGAAATTGAAGCTATGTTGTTACAACTAAGGATGCTTCTCGCCTAGGCCTACTGGTATCGACATTCACTGTTTCCTGACAAAAATTAAATAATTATAATATAAGCTTAGCCAAAGAAAATAAATGTTACACTGTGATGTGATGAAAGGCAGGCTAAATGATTTGCAGTTTCTCTTTGATATTGACAAGATTTTCATTGAGAGAAGCCATTGCCTCACGAGAATAAATGAAGGTCATATGAAGTGCACAATGTTTAGTTAGCAACGCCGGCTAACGGCAAGGTTATAAAGGGCATTATTTACAAAGCACAATTTGAAAAAGCAATTTAACATAGAAATAGTGTTTCCCCCAAAAAAGTATGCATGTATCTGCATTATTAGCTTACTGTAAGCCGAGTTTTGATCCGCCAACCCCTCCATGATCTAAAACGATTCTCAAGGATGGCATGACTTTTCTTATCAATCCGAAGAAAATATCACTTAATTTGCAACTTGAAGAAGTGACAACAAATGATACAAAAGCCATTTCATTTTAATATTTGCAGAAGTGTTTGTATTAGTACCTTATTGACAGCCCTGGGAAGCTGTCGAACCAAAGAAGCAGACAATCGTGCCGAAATCATTTTACCGGTGTTAGTCCTCAGCCTTCAACAATATGGCCTCTGCTAAAGGAAGTCGGTAAGCCCCGTAGACTAATAGCCTCAAAGAATATTGCTTTGCTTTGTACAGGCCAATAAAGAAAGTGCTTTGAAATGTTCTTCTGTTAGAAATAAAACCAGAAATGATATCTTTATTTTTATAAATTAAAGAGTAGGCGAATTACTTGATAAGACATTTTTTTATATTATATAACCCTTTTATATTAGAGTATATTTATTGTACATTCGGTAGTCTTCGTTTTTTTTATTTTTTTGCCACGCCGCTGAACATTAAAAAGCACGAAATGAAATGGGGTTTAACGTCCTACTTTTCTGCACCATTCGGGATATAACGAAGACTGGCATACACCATTCAGTATGCTACGAGGGGAAATTTTGCTCTGACAGTGGCGCTACAGCCTACTCTTATTGCGAATTCCGATGGTAAGGGGTCTTTTATACGTGCATGCTGGGGCTGGGACAATGTGTACACGGGACCCGACTTTTTGTCCTATCCGAACGACTAGACACTGCCCGTCGCCAGGTCTTCCGACTATCGTTGAGAAACCATAGCCACGCCATTGACACCAACCCAACTACTTTGCGCAAATATATCAAACGGAGCGATTAATATTTTAGTTGACTTTGTCACGGTTCCTTTCTCGCGCTTCCCTTTTTTACCTGCAAGTATCAGCGCCTGTTTTATGTTATTCACATATTTGCAAATAAAAATATTTGTATGGCCACTATTGTTATGTTTAGATATATCTATTGTGTTTACAAGTAGAACCGCGAATCTTTAAATATGTAGGCCTGTAAAGTGGATATACATGTTTTTCTTAATTAATTTGTATTTTGTCTCAGATAATTGCAATTAAATGGTCAACAAAATATATATATATATTTTTTTTTTTTTGAATTTATTTTTGTTTATTTGTTCCTTTGATTGCTAACGTGACAGTCGTTGGGCATTGATTATAGGCCACTATAAGATTCTCCAAAACACATCAATGTGAAATGGTAGAATTTCTTAAAATATAACGAAAACGAGTCTGCTAGAAAGCACGGTTTTAGACAACAGCATTTTATTTGTTTTTCTATCCAGAGTTATTTAATATGGCATTTGAGTTGAAATAAATTCCCACACTGATCAGCAGTGAATTTTCGCTAGGCCGCTACAATCATTGATAAGAATGACATCGATGCGACTTAATGAGCCAGAAATATTAACTTTTTTCCTGCGACCAATTAAATTCTAAAACATTTTTTGTATGTATTGGAAAAATAAATAAAGGCGTTTGACGTATTTGTAGGTAAAAATTATTTCCTATTTAGTGTAAATGGGTATTAAAATGACTAAAAGGCAGCATTCCGCCCGAAGCAGTAATGTCTTATGAAAACAATGCACGCGCCATTCAGCCAATGGTTGACGCCGTGTGCTGTGACGGCACGTGTTAAGGCAGTCATCTTTGACAGAGATATTACTAGACTGTATCTTTGATTTTCCGACGTGGTTTCCCCTTGTCAGTGATGCAGGACGGAGGGCCTGACAAGGACAGCTGTCTAGTCCTTCGGATGATACGAAAAACCGAGGTCTCGTGTAAACATTGGAATGCACGTAAAAGATCCCTTGGCAGTTGAATTTGATATAAGAGTAGGCGATAGTGCCGCTGCCCAGGCAAAATTTCCCTCATAGCACACTGTATGGCGTATGCCTGTCTTCATTAGCCCAGTATAGGAGCAGAACAGTAGGACGTTAAACCCCACTTCATTTCATTTTATTTCATCATTTGTGAGAATTTAAACTTGGTCTATTATTATGATCATGATATGCTATACAATGATAGTGTGCAACTCTAGACCTACTTTCTCAAATTGTTATGGTTTTGTGCAAATTTCGTTTTACCGCAGAGATTTAGCATTTCAATTTTTCAATTACTATCTTTCTCTACACGCGTGTTACTATTTCCCCGTGGCATGATCAATCTTTGCCTCATAGCTTACATTGTGGCGTATGTCGTGTGCAAAGCAGGGTAAGCTTATATTGACATCTGTGGACTCCTGAGGGATGTCCTATGGTAGGCCTAGCTGGTAGTCTTAAGTAAAGTTTGCATCATGGTTTACAATATTTACATAGCTAAAAACAGTATTGTTTTAAAAATGTTATGCCCTTGCAAAGGGCGTTGCCCTACGCTGTGATAGTGTTTCGGCAGTTGAACTGTTAAATTTATTCATTTGCATAACGAATCCTACAGGAAAAAAACTACCGAACACAATAATTACAAAAATGGATGTTATATGTTCCCGAGAAGTACTCTCTGCTGGCTTGGTGATATTTCCGTCTGGGCAATCAGGCAGTTTCCCACATGACCTACATTAATAGCAACCGGAAAATCAACACGAAGAGAGATTGACGTCAAGCAATTAGAGAGAAAAAATCTTATTATATACCAACAAAAATGGCAAGTGGATGTACAGTGACATCGAAAATATGTATGATTATTGTTGGAATAACATTTTGGGTAAGTTTTCGACATAAGTTTCAGTAGTTGTGAATCATTGTGACAAAAGCAATAATATCATGCCAACGTTTATTATTCATTTTCACTGGTTCCCATTGCAAGTCAGTGTTTCGTTAGCAAAGCCTTAATGACACTATTGCCATTGGCAGTGGGGTATCAACATTAGAATTGCAACACCAAGAATGGCATTTTGTACAATGCCATAGGCGTATATTGAGGACAATTTCTAGGTTATTGGCCCAGAAAATTAACTGGCAACACCATTTCAAAATTCATCAGGTTTTACAGATTAATGATACAAAATACTATAGATACCCTTCTTGGGGATTAGATAACAATATTCAGACCTGTTACAAGTTCCTGTTGAAGTATATATATAGAGTACTGGTTCAAATGGCAAATGGTAGGTTTAGAACAATATAGTTTATATAGACTGTGTAATAGAAATACACATGCAATTTCTGATAAACATTAAGTTTAAAATAAATTAAAAGAGCCATTTTGGTAGGCTTCCTGTTGCTCTCACTGATTATTCACCAATCTGTCACTAAACATATTTATGTTAGTTTTTATGCACCCACTTTGAATTTGTAATCACCCCTCTCTGTTGATTGTACACAGTTGCTTGTGGAAACTTCAGAGACTAAAGATATCATCCTAGTAATAGTATTGAATTGAAATTTATCATCAGACATAGCTAATCCTATTTTCAAGAATTTCTGATATCTAGGACTGTCCGAGTTACAGTCCTTGATCACTTAAAAAGTCTTTTGAATGCTCTAGAGCAGGGGTGTCACTCATTTTGATTCAGGGGCCACATGAACTAAAAGTTTACATCAAGAGGGCCGAAGATAGGCAATACAAAAATAACAAGATAAAGAAAATTTTATTGATTTATTTGACTAAAATAGATACATATTATAATGCAATACATATTGTATTACATTGTACATACAACTTAGATATCTATGACATACAGTACAGAAGTCAGTTTTACTGAAACCGGAAAACAATAATAAATGATTTCCATTGCAAGTTTCTAAGAATTATAAATCGACACGTCAGTTTGTTGAAATTTGTTCCACGGGCCACATTTAAACCCTATGCGGGGTGGATCTGGCTCGTGGGCAGCATGTTTGACACCCCTGCTCTAAAGGCTAATTTAATTTCAAGTGATAAAGAAGTCAATTGATTTTCAACAATTGTTAACTTATATTGTATGTTTTAAAGGAAAATTGTTAATTTTTGTAAGCAAAATTATTGCAGGCTTTGAGGACTTTTTGACAATAAATATCATAAATTGGTACATATGATAAAGGAATTGAAGTAGTCAATTAATATTTATATCACATAGTCTCAATTTATTGCCATTAAAAGACATTAAATATGAAATTTTATGATAAACATTCTGTTGATGTGATTTAACTTTTAACTTTATACCCTGTAGAGATATGAAACAGTCTTCAAAAAAGAATGACACAATTATTGATTAGTCAACATAATTTTTTTTTCAGATTTGATTATTGATCAACTTATTCTTTTAAATTATTTGTAGGGTGCGGCGGCGACTTTGTGTTTTGTTGGATCATGGGTATACTCTACATACAGCCATTTTGATGAGCTGACAGAAGCCAGCTTAACCTTAGTTCCAGCAAGTATTATAATAGCTGGAGGCATATTCATGTTTATAATTGGTCTCCTTGGATGTATCGCAGCTTGTAAGGAGAGTAAATGTCTACTGGCTATAGTAAGTTCAGTTTTCTATGCCATTTAGCCGCACCTCAATGTATATATTGCTAAATTAATTAAACGAATATCCATTGTTTTCTGGCACTTCACATATATTTTCTGAGCAGGGAGGTTTTACACTTCCAGATACAAGCTAGTACAAAATGTTTTATAAATATACGTGAGATAATGTTTTATAGTGGACAGTATGATTTTTGAGGTAATGGTATTCAGTAAAGATTTATTAATTTATTTCATTAGAAATAGAACAGTTTGTTTTTCATTGAATCTGTTGTAGGAGTAGTTATTTTGCTGGTGTTTTAAGACTTACATTACATTTCAAGTTACTGGTATGAAGAAATTGTCTTAGTTATGACAAATCTTTTAGTGGCAATTAATTTATGCAAAAAAAACAAACTGAAATGCATCAATCAAATTGAATGAAAAGGACATAAATTTATACAAGACGTAGACACTTCAGTCTGCAGGGTATATTTGAATGAGGTTTTCAGAGTACAATTATGGATTATTTGTAGCAGACAGAACAACATGAGTGAATTAACATTAACATAACTGGGTGGTAATAGACAGTAAATGTAATTAATAGAGACTGGTAGAGTGTGTCTTGTTTCATTGATTTTTTGTCTCTTTAACTTAAAGTTTAAGGAAGGAAGTATAATAGCTGGAATTTGATATTTTTTAATATATTTAAACATAAATTATGTAAGACCTAAATCTGCCTATTGCAGGTCTTTCTTTGGGCCTTAATTGTTGTATAAATTATTAAAGGCATTTATTAATATGACTAGACCATAATCAAGTCTTGATGCCATTAGATGGCTCTGATTTCAAAGGACAATATTGGTGCCAGTCATTATCACATATGTAATAGAGCTGGTTAAACACATTCCAAATATAATTTTAACACAGAGATCGTTGCTACGATAGCTGAGTAATACAGGTTTTCTGAATCGGAAGGACGAACGCCAAAGGAAAACACGGGTCATCTCTCTATATAACTGTCTGATGTGACGAGTGATAACAGATATACGGGCGAATTTCTGCTCACTAATAATTCCTTCCAAGACCAAAAGTTGTTGTGTGAGACTGTGAGAGAATATCTGACAATTCATAAAAAGAATTGACTGCCACTAGATAAGCGAACACGAAAGAAAAACAGAAAAAGTCTGTGCATTACCATGTTTTTATAAGGTATAGAATGAATATAAACAAGGGAATGTACGGACTATTTCTATTTTTCTCGTGTTCTCTTATCTAATGACATTCAATTACTTTATTGAATTGTCAGGTATCCTCTTACAGTCCCATATAACAACTTTTGTTCTTCGAAGGAATTATTAGTGAGCAGAAATTCGGCCGTGTATCTGTTATCACTCGTCACATCAGACAATTATATAGACAGATGACTCATGTTTTCCTTTGGCGTTCGTCACTTCCGATTCAGGATACCTGTATTACTCAGCTATCGTAGCAATGATCTCTGTGTTAAAATTATATTTGGAATGTGTTTAACACGCTCTATCACATATGTGATAATGACTGGCACCAATATTGTCCTTTTAAGTAGATTAGAACAGTTAGGCCATTTAATGATTTAATTTAAAAAAGGAAAATCTAGTGGTTACAATCAATGCACACATCTTGTCAAAACTACAACCAATGATAATTCGCTCAAAATAAAATAATTTGAATGACATTTTCGATATATTCATTTTTGAAATATTATAACTCTTTATCTAAATCTTACATAATGCCTGTTTAAATACCTGTGTTGTTTTTTTCTATTTTAGTTTTTTAGTTTGATTCTGGTGGTTTTCATGGCTGAAGTTACAGCTGGTATTATGGGCTATGTGTATCGTCACGAGGTAAGGCTAATTCAGTTCAGCAGCTTATCAAAACTTCAAAATGTTTATTTTTTTGTCTTTCAACATTGATTTTTACCTAGGAGAGATGTATAAGAACCATGAGATTGAGATTAAAATGGGTTCATCTGTCTGTCTAGCTGCCCATCAGTCCTTTTGGGACACAGTAACTCCCAATGCCCATATATTTATTAGATGAATGTCTTGAGAGATTTTAATGAAAGTATTTTCTGCTGAGGCTAAGCAGAGAGAAGCAATTTGATGTGTTGATGCTTTGGAACATGATAACTCTGATTCTAATTAAATTAGAGTTATGAAACTTGGTGTATAGTTTCATTACATTAAAACCTTGACCAAGCTATAAGAATTTTAATGTACAAGTTTTATTAATTAATGACGGTCATCCATTTATTGAGGCAATGGAGATCATCCTCACTGTAGTGGTTATTACATTGAATAAACCGTTCAGTTGTAATGTGTATTTTAGGTAAAACAAACAGTTTCTGATGGACTTACTAACTCTATAAATAGATACAACGAAACTCTACAGAAAACCCAGTTGGACTATGTGCAACAAGAGGTAAGTTTTGAACTGTTCATATGTAGAAACTATACAGATGACAATCTGATAAAAATTATATATGTCAATTACATTTTATTTTTTGTGTTGTATCACTTTATATTTATAACATCTGGCATATTTTGTTTGAAGTGGATGTTTGGATTGTGTTTTTTGACTCATCAGGAAATACGAGGCTGCATTTTGTTTAGAATTATAGTAAAATATGGGAATGTTTGTGAGTGGTTTAAAGTTTAGAACCATTTGGAAAACAATTGTCTGATATGAATGTTACTCTTCCTAGCAGGACACTGGGATGATAAAAAGTTGGTTTGATCACAATCAGTGTAAAAATTACTAATAATCAGAAAATATGAAAAGAAAGAAAATTGTAATCTACTTTTGATTTATTTGATACCAGGGCAGAGAGCAGTTAACTTATTAACTGGTAATTAACGTATAAATCAGATTAACACGTTAATAGAAATGAATTAACGCATAAAAACTCTGTGACATCATGTTGATTCATATATGCATATTCGGCTGGAAAATCATATCGACGCATGAAGGGGCCTTATTCATTCAAAATATCATTCAGCGACCACAGTGCCACTGTCGCTTAAGTTATAGTATCCAGTCAAAGTAACTCGGTCTCAGTCTCTGAATCTTGGGTCAAGGTTGAAGCCACCAAATTCAATTTGTTTTTAAGGGTATATGTTTTCCCATCAAAATGCCACCGAAATTATCTGTTTATTCTGTGGACTTGTCTCACTGTTGGCTTGTTTTTTATAGAGTTACCAAACTTACTGCAACTGGTGTAAAACATTTATGTGCAGTAATTAATGAGATTGTTTTTATCTTTATAGCTTCATTGCTGTGGTATTCAAAATGCTTCTGACTGGAGTCATTCAATCTCCTGGGGCCACGAACATCCTAATCAAGTTCCTACAAGTTGTTGTAGAAACGAAACATGTACAATGAATGGAACTCTGGTACCACGTGATCCTGCAATTTTCAAAGATGTAAGAACTTGTATGTTATCGTTGTTGAATTTGGTTTTAATCATTGATACACATATTTTCAGTACCATATATTAAAGATATATTATATCAGTGAAAATACATTGTTATTTTCAGGGTTGTTTGAGCTTGTTGGAGAATAAACTCAATACAAATCTTGTATATATAGCTGGAATTGCAGTAGCTTTTGCAGTTATTCAGGTATGCATGGTCATTATATTTATATCTCTATTAGTCAAGTATCTGGATGTAAACTATTGTACACCTGACTGGGCACAAGTACTTTTCATCAGAAATTTTCCACCTTGTATCATATCATACTTATAACTTGTGTACTTTAAACAAGGAATGAAATATATAGTTAAAAGCCTCTGTCTGTACCTCACAACAACTTTATATCACTCATTTCTCTCTGGTTCCTTGGGAACAGCATCTAGTAATTTGGATGGGTCCTGTGTATACATCGAGATGGGACAGGCAACCCTACTCCTTGTTACGTACAACCAGGTATTCGAAACCACGCTAGTTGACTCAATTACAGCCCTTATGATACAGCGCGCACATGCTAACCATTCGACCATCCACCCCCCTCGACATGCATGTAAAACAACCCTCGACAGTTGAAATTGAATTGCTGCCTGGGCATTATTTCCCTCATAGCACACTGTATGGCATATGCCCTTCTTAATTAGCCTGACAGTGCAGATAAGTCGCACATTTGTAATTGTCCTAATCATTCTGCTCTTGTTGCAAGAACACTGTTTGTTGTCTGGATGGATCTGTATGTGAATTTTATATTTTACAGATTCTTGGTTTAATATGTGCCTGTATTCTGTTATGTCGCAGTCAAGAAGTTCGCTATGAAACATTGGTTGGTGCCGAAAGAAATGGTTTAAGAGTGTAAGTTGGAGATTTGAAGGAGACGACAGTTGATCCATCCATAGAAAAGAAATTATAACCTTTTAACGATATAGCATTCACTGATTGTCCTTAACTAATAGTGCATTCCACATTTCTATTCAATTAAAATAGAGAATTACCATGATACTAGAGTTATATGTCCATCTGTAGGATTCAGTATAGATTTGTTTTTGTTTAAGCATGGAACTTGTTAACTACTTGTTAAAGTAATCTATCAGGGGCATATACAGGAGGACGACATTCTGGTTTCCTGACAATTGGAATTCTTTGTGGTGAATCATATTATGTACTAGAATAATGCAATATCCTGGATTTTAAATACAAAAAAATAAAATTTATGTTATGCCTTTTGACGTTTGTGTCAGCTGGACTGAAGTTCTAAATCTGTCTCAGGTTTCGATATTAAAACTTGGATGTTTCTCTTTTCGAAAAACACCAAAAAGTTACAGCAAAATTAAAATCCTGTCAGACCAGCAAATTTATTATTGCTTTAAGCTTAATGGTGTTGAAATATGTAATGGATGTAATGTGGTAGTTCTCTGTTTTTATAGTCTCATATATATGTGTGTTTTTAAGTTGCTATTAATTATTATAATGTATATTAAGAAGAAAGTAAACTACACTAGGGCCTCATTATTCCAATGTTTGATATAACAAGGATGTTAATATTAAGAAAGAAAAAACTATTTCTTCTAGGGGGAAAAATTTGGGCAGATTTAAAATTTTATCACACTTCAAGGAAAAAGTGAGCACTGAAGACAGGGTTGGAATAGGAGTGGAGCTTTACTTTTGATTGTATTTTAAGTTTACTTTCAATTTATTACAAATATACTTTATACAATTGTTAGAGCTGGCACAATATATCATTGCGATTCACTTTCGCTATATTGGATCTCAGGATGCTTTAGTTGAAACAATAACACTGCAGTAGAAGCGTTTCGGTAGTGTGGCATGTTTAGTATATAGATCCAAATGGCACACAACGAAATCAATTTAACAAACCCTCAAGCCAAATTCAGTTTAAAAGTTTAAAAGATGACACAATAAAAGATCATGTAAACGTTCCAACGATACAAATCTCAGTGTGAATGGTAGTGCTTATACACAGCGCTAACAATTTATGTGTTTTCTTGCTATGTTTTATATACTGTTGGCTTATATAGTTAATTGGGATATTTTATCTAAAAATTTAATCAGGAAGGGGAAGTTTGATCATTCTGCCAAAAGTGCTAGATCTACTTAAAATTGAATTATTTAAATAGTAAAATAATTTCAGAGTAACATAAAAATTATGTTTGATAAATAAAATATCAGCCCTTAAAAGCCTTTTGTGACTATATTTGATCTAAGTTTAATATGATTGAGGATAGATAGAAAAGATGTGACATCAACTACAAAATTAAAATTCTTTCTCAGTGATATTTTAATAAAAACATAGTTGTCTTTTATTTGGTCTCATCATTAATGTTTTATTGTGTGTACCATTTGGTTCTGTTCATATGATGTTATTAATTTAATGGTTTAATAGTTTTAAGAATATTTCTCCATATTAAGTTAAGTTAATGTATTACAAAGTTACAGTGAGAAAAGTGTTAAATTATCATGAATAGCTTAGACTGTATCATGTTGCATGGAGTTATTTTTCAAAACGCAATTGATTTAAGAAATCTTTTAGACCTCGCCTTTATGGATAAAATGTATGTATTAATTTTTGGATTTACAGGATTTTTGCTGTTTAATTTTAATTTTCGTCAGAATGATTATCTAGTTACTCTGCAGTTATTACTTGAGTGATTAACATCATCTCAAAACAAGATAAGCAATATAATATATTTATGTGTATATACAACAACCTCTATTTAAACTAGGCCAATTCTGTGTACTTGTAGTATCTTCACAACTCTCAGACATAAAAAGAAAGTGTTAATCTATTCTATATTCACCCTTGACTACTTTAGAACTGTTTTTCCACCAACAAACTGACACATTTGATGCAGCAAATGATGAGTACACATGCATATAATCTTGTGTGCTATTTCTATTAATATTTCTAAGTGTCGCCAAGATCATCAGTGATAAAAATCCTGTTCTTTTTACTTAGCGCAAGCGTCACTCAAATTTTGATCGCCTGATCAGTACTACATCAACCTAGTCCAAAAAATGTATAACATTTATTGTATTTAAGGTGTAAGGTGAGACAAGCTGTTCGGCCTATTTCAAGATGAATGTATTATAGTATTTTTCACATTTCAAAGTCATGATGCATTGTAAGCTATTTTAAAACTGTTATTTGCACCATTCGTTTTTGGCTAATAAATTATAAGGGAAAGTAATTGTTAACTCCCCCCCCCCCCCATCCCCACTGTAATAGGTACTCAATACTCTTTAATGATATGCATTTTTTTAAATGGGATATAAGAGAAATGCATGATAAAGTAATTCTCTATTATAACAAGGTAATTAATACGAAGTAATATTAAATCAAAATGAACACAGTCAGTTTATTCAAAACTCTTCGTATTGATTAGTCAGGTTAGATAACTGTGTAATTAGGTAATATAATACAGACACATTAAAAATTGACTAATCCATGTCCTTGTCAAATATGTTCTCTTTGCCCTTTGAGACCTTATTGGACTGACAGATTTGGGACAAGGTTTCACTGTATCTGTACATAATTCTATTATTAGTTTATATACTGTATTGTGATATTATTTGAGGCCTGTACAGTGTTTAATCTATTGAATATATTAGTATATATATTATATGATATGTATTAGATCATTATATACATATATATTATGTATTAGATCTGAGTTGTAGATAAGTAATATAAGCTTTTACATATATATGTATTTTCCTCATTTAAGCTAACTGTGCTGAATATGGAATGGATATTCCTTTTTTTTTTCTTTCTTTCTTTTTAAATGTTACTTTTTTGAATTTTAAAGCTTATAAATTTGGTTTCCAATACCATGTGTTGGTTTAGAATTTGATTGGGATCCATAGCTTATATTATTATTTTGTTTGTATATATTCAGCAGTGTTCCTTTAATTGAAAGAATTTGAAATATGAATATGTTTATATATAACTGAACTCTAGACATTTTTTCTGTGACCTACTAAATTTATAGATCCTAGTATATATATGTATTTGCCAGACTAATGATGGTATATATATAGAGGCTAGCTAAAATTTGATTTCTGTACTCTGTTTGGGTGTAACAGTAAAAACTAAAAACTGTATGTTACTTATGTACAGCTTATTCTTGTAGAACAAGAAATATCATAAGTGATAGGGCTGGCTGACACCACATATTGTTGAATCAATGTATCACAATTCATATGACAAGGCACCACAATCTGAACTGTTGATAAATTGAAAGTAGACGTAGATCATCTCCTACAGTCAACATTGTGACCTGGTTATGAATCGTAATAAGAATTGTGTTGCAGCACCCGAATCACAGTAGGTAATTGAGACTGCTACAATACCCAGCAATAATTAGTGATAACTGTTCATAATTAGTTAAAAATTTGTATGGAACTAACTGAAATTATTGTCTTTGTGCTAGTCAATTAGATCTTGTTTGTTTCTTTGTTGCCTTTTGGTTTCTGTTAGGGCATTTAAATTTAAGGCCTTAAAATAGTACAAGACTATATGCACCACACTTGCTTTAGCTAGCACTGCACTTTATTTATATATTGAGTCTATTGGAAATGATGGCCAGATTTGCTTAACAGGGTTACATAACACAATTAAGAAATAACCATCTTTGGTTGTATGAGTGACTTAATAGCACAACAAGCACTAGATATGGATATCAAGGGAATTATAGCCAAACCCACTTGCCAATGATAAAGGCTTGTAGTCTTTCACCCCGAATTAACCAGTTTTATTTACTAAATATATCTATAGAGGTTCCTTTAAAAGTCCAATTTTTATTATGGAGTTTGGAAGTAGAAATACCTAATGGATTACTACTACTCTATAGCATTAAAAATATTGTTTAAGGCAAGTATATGACACTTATATAGTAGATTACAACACGGGTGTGTTCATTGTTGGGCATTGCAACAAATTATTTTCACAGTAAGATTTTGTTTGTATATATTTTCGTGTTCCATTACATTTTAAATAATAAGGCACACATATTTGAATTTTATAATATCATAATTTAGAACAAATAACACATTGAGATTATCATTTAAAAAAACTGAGATTATTTTTTTGCTTTGTTAAGACTGAATATGATATAATTCTCAAAGGATGAATGAAAAAAATTGTTAAAAAAAAAAGAAGGATGTGCCTCTACATAATTTTTGTCAAGGATTGTTGTTTAATTTCATTAATGATTTTTTTGTTCTTAATTTGATTTGTTTGAAGATTTTACCAGTTTATTTTAAGTAAATATTTAATAGCACTGATATTATATTATAATTGTCATCACTAGTCTGCAATAAAAATATTTCCACTTTAAAGTCACTCTTGTTAATATTTAGTTAGTTGATATATCTAAAAAAAACAAAGAAAGATCTACTTTTAAAGTAGTGTACATCTTTCATGATGATATGATTTTTAGACGTAAGTGAAATGGACTCAACGCAAGAGGACACAGAAATGTAATGGTGATGATACTAGTACTACAGTACCTTGATACTATAGTGACACAGGTGTTTATAGATGTGTCCGAAGAAAATATTCTTGACTTTGTTTTTTGATTTCCTGCATATTGGTCCCAGGAAGGAATATTAGGAAATCAGCCAAGAGTAAGGAGTTTTTTTATATTTACCCAGGCTATTTTGATAATAGAATGACTCTTCTACTGGTGAATGATCACTAAACTTATAATTTCCAATGAAAGATGATGCATCTTCTTTGTTTTCAATAAGATAATTGAACATCTCAATTTCAGCTAAAAGTCTTTCCACTTCATGGACAGTTTGAGTCTGGGGGTTAAAATCATGTCCTAGATCGACAAATTGATGACCATGGTAATTACTGAAGCATTAGATCAACTGATTGATCAGGTCGTTCTTTGGATGGATGAGCTTCTTGTGAAGTATATAGTTGCAGGGCCATTTGAAAACGCGGCGTTTTTGTGACCTATGTCAGTCTTTATTTCCTTCGTTGCTTTCGGGAGCATTGTCTTTTGAAACATGTATCCTCTCCTTTTTTCAGAGAATCTGGTTTCAAGATATTACAAGGTGAATATCCATCCATGATCTTACATGTGCAAATGGAACTGCTTGTAATGTTCATCTTGCACCCTCTTCCTCGTACGATGGTTTTTCTTTCTTTGTTGGTCGTATAACACCGTTCCCTCCCTTATATTTGGAACTCTCGAAGAGTTTCCTATACAAATCCGCTATTTCGTCCGATCTTTATATGCTGTCTTGAAGAATGATAACCCTGTCCATGAAATCAGGGGGACAGGCATACTCCTTGCATAATATAATCTTGGGATGGAAACCAAGGCCTTACTTTTGACAGAATGAAGAACCCCCGATACTCTAGTAAGAAACGTTCCAGTGATTGGTCTAGGAGATTGACATGGAGCATTTTCATTATCTTGTCTCAGAGATACCATAGCTCGATGTCCTTCTAATACTTTCTTCTTAAAACCATAGATCCAATCCATTCTGTTATGACAGCACACAAATATAAAATTCTTCTTTACCTTGAATCCATAGTTGTATAAGATTACGATGTAAAAATATGTGAATGATAACAATTTTATCACAGAAATAACAAAAACACGTCTTACTAATTCTAAAACTTGTAAAGTTGTGATACTGATAGAACAATGGAAATAACGTCATTAGTTTCATTATCCCGTCGTTTTAATTGTGACGTCATAATGAGTAAACTTTGAACCCCACACTCCTGTTTTATTACCTTACTATGTTATACCTATATTATTATTATTATTATCACAGCATATTTATAACGCGCCCTTTCATATAACATGTTCAGGGGCACTTTACAAAGTGACAATGTTATCATAAATAAACAAATAATCATATATACTATTCAAAAAAAGTAGGGGATATTTGATTTTTAAGTGTTATTAAAGTCACCTAATGAAACTGACGAAGAAACAAATGACAAAATGAAATGAAGTTCACATTCATCGATTTATTCCAAATGATCGTTAGACTAAGTAAGGCACAGACTGACCATTATAAGGGTAAAATGATACCCGGGGTCAAACAGCAAAGTTACCACAGCATCACAACCAAGTCAGTAACGGGTAAATCCTCCTCTGTTTGCCAAACAAGCATTGATCCGACGTGGCATACTCCTAATGAGACGTCTAAGGTCATTTTGGTCCAGATTGTCCCATTCCTGTTGCAACGTAGCAGCAAGTTCTTGGACATTGGCAGGACGTTGTTGACGTTGACGTAACCTCTGTCCAAGCATGTCCCAGACATGCTCGATGGGGGAGAGGTCGGGACTCAGTGCTGGCCAAGGTAATGTGGTGATGTTCTGTTGTTGGAGGTAACCTGTAACGATCCTGGCCCTGTGACATCTTGCGTTGTCATCCTGGAAGATGAAACGGCGGCCATGACGTCGTGCGAACGGCACAACATGGACTGCCAAGATGTTGTCCCGGTAGTACTGGCCTGTAACACGCCCTGCAACAACATGTAAAGCCGTTCTTCCAGCAACAGTGATGCCTCCCCACACCATAACAGAACCACCCCCAAATCGATCATGTCTGATGACGTTAACGTCTTGGAAGCGCTCGTTTCGACGATGCCACACCCTCCTACGTCTGTCCAAAAAATCAACAGTGAACCTTGACTCATCTGAAAACATCACATTGCTCCAGCGTCGATTATCCCAGTGTTGACGATCCCTACACCAACGACGTCTTGCCTGAATGTGATGATCTCTCAAACAAGGGATCACGCGAGGACGTCGGGCACGAAGGTGACCCCTATGCAGTCGATTCCGAATCGTCTGGCCACTCACTCTCACACCAGTGTCTGTTTGAAGACGAGCGCTGATCTGATTTGCTGTGATGACACGATTTCTCAAGGCCAAGGTACAGATAAATCGATCCTGGGCTTGAGTTGTCGCCCTTGGTCGACCTGAGCGTGGTCTGTCCTGTACAGATTGTGTATCACGGTATCTGGACCATAGCCTGCTTATGACAGACTGAGAAACATTCATCGTCCGCGCCACAACCGCCTGTGTTGTGCCGATCTGTAGCATGCCAAGGGCACGTAACCTTTCATTTTGGGTAAGCCGACGCATATCAAAATTTGTTTTCTGGTCAGTAAAACAATTAAACTGATGTTTCCACCCTGGAATTCAATGCCACAATGACTGTAACATTCAAAGTCAGAGTCGTGCAAATCTTGGGTTGGACCCCCATGATGATCCCAATCATCACCTGTATTCCATGCGGTAGCTATTGGTGCGTTTGGGCGTCACATGTAACTGGAAATGTTTCTTCTGTTAGGTTCTATAGTGACTTTTTTCGTAGTCATTTGCATATTTTAGTATTAAGCCCCCAAAATCAAATATCCCCTACTTTTTTTGAATAGTATATAAAGATTCCATACTTATTATATTCCTATACCTATATCTTATACAATACCAACTAACCAGGAGGTCCGAGGTTTGATCCCGCGATATTGGCCTAGAAAGTTCTCCGGAATTTTCCAGTGTGGTTTACGTTTGTCATTGGATGTAGGACGGAGGGCCTAGTAAGGCCAGTGTCGAATAGGATGAAAAACCGAGGTCCCGTTTACATGTTGGCGTGCAGGTAAAAAAAAACCTTGACAGTTAGAATTCGAAAATTGGATGGAACGTCCTGCAATTCTGCAGCCGACTAATGAAGATGGGCATACGCCACGCATTGTGTGAATGGAAATTTGCCCGAACTGCATCGTTTTCGCATATTCTTCTTCGAGATCTCGTGTTCGATCCTGGCGTTGGCCAAGAAAGTTGCCGGTGCAAGGCGGAGGTCTGGCAAGACAGAAGGGCCGCTACACTAGAGTCAAAGGGGTTCTTCTCTCCGATACGAGGGGACCCGTCTCATTGGCTCCGTATCAAGTTTTCTCCCCGGATTTGACCTTTCCTTCTGTTTTCTTTTCTGAGATTTTCCAAAAAATGTTGTTTAATCCGCTTCTGAATGATATGCTATTTTGTGGAAGACGTAACGATATATGCCAAGTTTGACACTTGAACACCGAGAACGCGCCATTCCTTTTATTCAAGAGGGCATACGCACCAGGGCCGTCACTAGAAGTTTGGATGATTTTAATATTACACTACCACCATCCTAATATCTCGCGCGGACCCTTTCTGTCGGAAAGGATCGACCAAGGTCTGCAGGGCAACGCGTCACAACCAGTGGTGTTCCATTATGTGATTACGCCCTACCCCTTGAACAATAAATGGGGGACGGTAACATGGGTTCACCAGTGCTGACATTATTTGTCGCCGACTACGCTCTGTGGTAACTAGTCTTGTAGAGTCACATAGATGTGAAAGTTTATTGAGCAATTTCTTCAGGTCGTCCATTGGGGTTACCATCAGGCAATTGTTTCTGTTTCGAATAAAGATCTCCCATCTCTGGACCATCGAAGGTTTATGGCAATGAATATTCGTTTGGTATGTCCATCGAAGCCATTATGGTTTCTGTTTCGAATAAAAATCTCTTATCTCTGGATCATCTCTCGATCGGAATGGCGGTGGTTCAGTGAGTAAGACGTTGGCTCCCCACCGGGCGCTACCGTGTTCGATCCTGCTGCTTGCCGAGAAAGTTCATCGGTGTTTTGCGGCGTAGTGCCTATTACGTAATTTTGAATAGTGAATTTTATTTCGCCCGGCTACTTGGCGTTATACTATAATGCAGTCTTACGTCTATTATACAGTCATCGCTTCGTATTAATTTCTGAATTAAACATCTGATCAGGACGCACTGCATTTGACAGCAGAAGGGGTGGGCGAGATAACCGCCAAGAGTCTGTCGAAATAGTCATGAACCATTGGCTGATTGCTAATTGCAACTTACCTATAGGCATCGAAACTCCAGTCGGAAACTGTATGTGCTTCTGGACTCGGTCATCCAGATTGGCCATGTGCGTGGCCACCAATCAATCATATTGGATAGCTCGACTCAAGATTTGATTTCTGTTGCTGAAATTCAGTCGATAAAAAAAACGAAACAAAAAAGAAAAAAAAAATGACGAAAAGCGACAAAATAATAAAATACTAATCAGTAAATTATTGTGAGAAATAAACATTATCAGTTGGTCTGACGACATTCAAGATTATCAGAGATACCACACACAGAAAACAATCCATCGGTACCACCTGCCAAACTGTACCATACTGGGGATTATGCACTGGAGAATCGCCGAAAAATAACTCTAGTTGTGAGTTGGTCCTTACGCCAAACTATGTTAATCCTGCTAAAAAAAACTGAAAATAAATTATACATTATCTTATGTCAATGTGTATCTGTCTAGTATTTATTCAACATGATAACCCTGTAATTACATTGTAATTAAGCTACTGTCTCTTCACAATTAAACAATCACTTCTTTCGAAAACAAATGTCAACACGTATCTTATATTTATTGTTCATCTTGATGATAACCCTGGAAATACATTTTAAATAAGCCAGAGTTTCTACACAACTCCGATAGACATTCACCTCTTTGGGAAGTATCCAGATGTATCCTATGTTTATTGTTCCACTTGATACCTTTGTAAATAGATTGTAAATAAGCTATTGTCTTCTCAATACTTATGATTTTTTTTTGTAAATAGTAACATATTTCTAAAACTATCCTAATCTAATTTATTATAGTACCGTAGTTGTTACGATAATAAACCAAGTCTCGATTATCCACTTTTAAATTAAATAACTAAATGGCGATCGTGTTTAAATCCATTCAAAATCACAACCATTCGAAGATCTAGAGAGTTGATTATGGGCTTGTCATGTGAATCAGCCCCAAAGAAAGACCTGCAACAGGCAGATTTAGCTCTTGCATAATGCAGCTTTAAGTTATGTAAAGTATATTAAACATACATTATGCAAGAGCTAAATCTGCCTAATGCAGGTCTTTCTTTAGGCCTGAAATGTTATATAAACTATTAATTAGATATTTAATAACATGAAACGACCACAATCGACTCTCCATGCCATCGGATATCTCCGATATTAAGTAGATTAGAACGGTTCAGCCATATTTTGATTTAATTTAAAAACAGAGAAGCGAGGCTCGACTTCGAACAACCAGTATACGGTGGTTGCAGTTAATGCACACATCTTGTCAAACCTTCAACGGCTAATATCTTCACTAGAAGTAGGGTAATTTGAATGAAATTTTCAATATATTCATTTTGCATTATCGAACTATTATAGCAAGAACGGCTAGCTTTTTAACTAAATCTTACATAATGTATTTTTAAGGTGTAAGAAATGTGACAGTATTTGATATCAAGAAATTATCTAAAGCAACTTTATACACAAACATTAACAATAGGCATTAAATCACTGTATTATGAAAACGGATCTAACAAAATACTCATGTGTTGCTCGAAACAACCCTTATAAATATAACTGATTTATTTATATATCACAGAAACTGACATAATTTATCACAGTATCAAAAAAAAAGAAATATTATTTACATATATTATGATCAACATGAATTCACAAACGTGAAGATGGTATCGTTTATATTGAAATAGCTAAATTCCTATTCGAGCTAAAAAGAATTATGCTCATTTTTTATACAAGCTTTCGTTGACTATACGACCATGATTTCAAACTACGCATAACATTAAACTTTTAAAGTCCACGTAAAGTGTTACATTCGATAATTATCCTTGTGGGTTGGTTGATGCAGAGACGCATAAAAACTATAGCAAAGTTGCATTGTGATTAGCCAAAACAATTAAACAAAATTAAGATATTATGCTTATTTTGACAAAAACAAAATTCACTATACCAAAACTGGAAACGATTTATCTACTAGTGTAAAGGGCATATAATAATATATATACACGAAAAACACAAAAGTTAAATCTTGAAATTCATATAAATTTGGACACGCCATATAAAATATGTTAGTAAATAAAATATAGAGAGCGAGAGTAATATTTTTACTATGTTTTACTAAGACAACAATTTGCAGATTTCGTGACCTATACAATTTATCAATGTACTACATCAGTAAGTACATAGACCCATATACTAGAGTGAGCATTTCTTAAACTTAAAATACTTGAAAAAAAAAGAGCCCAAAGCTCTGGCTAACACTCGTTTTTAGCAACGGGCTCATTCCAAAAACAGGGTAGAATTTCAAAAGAAAGGTCTTCGCACACACATGCCACAAAATGCGAACACGCGACAGAAATTGCAACGCAACATACCCTTGTTACTGTATGTATGTTAGTATGCCACATGCCCATTTTGATAAAATCAGAAACACAAAATAGAATCACTCCGGATCGTTAACATGCCCCTTTCTGCGTAATTCACATATGAACGGTCTTTCAATTTTACAGTGATCATTTTCTAAAAACAATTTTGTACTGTTCCACTTCAGTATCAAACAATTTTTCAAGTTATTGTTGATTATTGGTGATACGTCCGTTTTCGGAACTATATGAATAACCTCCCTATGGATAGGTTTTGTTCTCTTGGTATGAATCTTCCATACCCACGGCGCTTGTGTAATATCTGATGATATCGGCTGATTCTTTATCATTCCTGATGTGAGGAATTCTGTGATATGTGGTTGCTCTGAAATAATTGTTTTAAAAATACTAATCATTTCGTGGTAATAAACAATGTTGTTTCAACTTTTAAATATTTAAAGCAGTATAAATTCTACCATTTCGGTAACGGTAACCAAAGATAACACTTTATTTTGTAAGAAGCAAAAGAACTCTAACATTAATTGAATTATGGAGGGGGCGGGGGGAATAAGCGTCTACTGGATTTACATGCCCGGGTGTGTGAAAAATGACTAAAGTTAAATTGTAAAAAGGGAAGTAAGCAGTGACGTACGAACGCTGAATTTCAGAAAAGGAGAGAGAGAGAGAGAAATGGGGTTTAACGTCCACTCGACACAAACTAGGTCATTTCGGGACTAACATATGGTTTAATTTTATTTACATAATTCGCTTGCGCGTAGGAGTTTTTACCAGTGGGAGGAAACCGGAGGACCCAGAGAAAACCCACGAGGTTGGACAGGCGACCCTACTCCTTGCCACGTACAACCGGGGATTCGAAACCACGCCAGTCGACTGAATGACAGACTGTATGATACAGCGCGCGCACGCTAATCATTCAGCCATCCAACCCCCCTTTCAGAAAAGGAGGGGCAGATATATTTTATATTGTAGAAAGGTAATCAAATGCTGATAAGTGATTTTTCAAAGCGTCGCGGTCGTCGGGTAGGGAATATATGATCGAGTGGTCTAACATGCGCCTATTATCTTCGATCCAAAGTTTGAACATGAGAAGGAATGATCAGGCCCGTAGCTAGCGGTGGGAACAAGAGGGGCGCGTTGGACGTTGGCTCCGTATTGCGTCCAATGGAAAGGGCGCCGGTGCGCCCATTGGGGGAACCGATTATTTCCCCAATGGGAAAGACACCATTGGGTGCGCCGAATTTTTCCAGGGGAATGTAACATAATGTCATATGAACCGACCCCGCTGAAGGCCTATTTTGTGTTGAGTGGACCATAAGCTTGTTCCCATTTAACCCCCAAAAAGGTTTTACTTACTAAAGTCGTTGATCAGATAGTCAAACAACCTATTTCCTTCTCTTTCTTGGTTTATAACGAGCAGATGAGAGTCACATTTTCTTTTACAATATCTGACTGCATCCTCCCGTGATTTATTTCTGTGTGTAACAAATTTGTAACAACTGTGCCCGATGCCAACAAACCCCTTTGGACATCTTGTTTTACTATCATGTAAGCACACTGAAAAATAAACATAATTTAAATATTATTTTAGTAGTAGGTAAAAATCGAAAAGATTAACCACTCAGAATTGTAATGTTAATCGGCTACCAATAAGTTTGTTAAGACAATGAGTGCTGGAATTCAATAATATTAAACTGAGACTAAAGTCGATAAGGAATTCAAATAAGTAACCTAGTGATATTCATGTGAATTAAGTGTTAACTTATCTCATTACATACACAGACAAGTAACGTTAGGCCGAGATATAACACTAAATAAATAAAATCAAACAAAACCTTATTGACAACATAAAACATATAATACCCATAATAAATATATATTAAATATGTTTTATGCAAAGGATTGCTAGGGAACCCAACTCACTCCTACACCAAATACGGTATTTGTGTTATATCTTTATTTAAAATATATAATGTGATATAATTGAAATGGGATTAAAGTCCTACTTACGTAGAGACGCAATGTTAATGTGAATTTTTTTTGGATGTGATATAATTGATGTTACAGAGTTATCTGGATGTACAATGTAAAATGACAATGTTTGGTGTGATATAATTGATGATACAAAGTTATCTAGATATACAATGTAATATGACAATGTTTGATGTGATATAATTGATGATACAAAGTTATCTAGATATACAATGTAAAATGACAATGTTTGGTGTGATATAATTGATGATACAAAGTTATCTAGATATACAGTGTAATATGACAATGTTTGGTGTGATATAATTGATGATACAAAGTTATCTAGATATACAATGTAATATGACAATGTTTGGTGTGATATAATTGATGTTACAGAGTTATCTAGATATATAATGTAATATGACAATGTTTGGTGTGATATAATTGATGATACAAAGTTATCTAGATATACAATGTAATATGACAATGTTTGGTGTGATATAATTGATGATACAAAGTTATCTAGTTTTCGTGAAATCCCGACATGTAAAAACAGGACTTAAGAATCCCCGAAGCTTCTCCTCGACCAATACCGGAATTCGAACCCTGGATATTCAGTGTCCTAACCAGTTGGGGAAAGGAGCATACAAAAGTACAGATATTGATATTTATCTTCTTAAGTGCCTTTAAGGACATTACATTAATTCAATTTAGAATTAGATATCAGCTGATATCTATATATAAATATGTATATTTCATACGTTATTATACCATACCATTTCAATAATAATGATTAATACATGAATCGGTGACCTTTCGTACATTGTTACTCACTTTTACAAGAATACAAAATAATTGTTACTTAATAGACGAACTAAGTGAAAATATCTAATAAATGTAACAAAAGGAGTTAAAGAGAAATAAATTTGTTGAGTGACACCCAAGAAATGTTACACCTCCCACAGTTTATTATGCGTTCGCTTAGAGGGGAACTATTTAATGGATGAGTTTGTCTGGCCGAGTGGTCCAATGCGGTCTGTTATTGAGTCAAGTAACATGATAAAATAAATACCCCTTGTCGGAAGTAAATATTGAAATAAAGTCATACCATATTTTACCCTTGAAATAACCTAGTTTGTGTTAACTGGACGTAAAACCCCCATTTTCTCTATTTTTTAAATATCCATAACATTAGTATTGTGAGGGTTTTAGTATAATTTGACTTCACTTTAAACCTGGCAACCCAAATTTGATTGTATGCAATGTTTGTGACAAATCTGCCAAATCATCCTTCGGATACAGACATTTTAACTTTCAATTGACAACGCATTTGTACAAGGTCTTCTTAAAGGGAATTGAAAGGAGCTCGAATCTGCCAATTGTTCGTTCGGATACAGCCATGTTAACTTAAATTATTTAGTGGCGCTCAATGAACAGACGTGAAAAATACCTTATTCTCTGGGGGTCACGGTGGCTGTCCCATTTCGTTTCATTTTTACCTCACTCTCTAAGTAGGGTAGGGATTGGGCTTTCGGTAAATAGTTGTGTCTGAGATTAATTTGAATATGATATTATCCAACATTAATGATATATATTTTCTTGGAAAGGGTGATAATGCATCTTTAAATTGAGCCGAAGTCTTTAAACAAATAAAAAAACCTTACTCGTAATGGATCCATAATCAAGGTAAAAGATTAATGTTAAAGATATGGTTGCCAGGCAAGGAATACCGTTTATTAGAAGCAAAACGTGTTACAATGTTTCGGTGACAGGGTCAATTATTCATTAAAATAATCGGGGCCGGCGGAAGCAATTCTTGATAGGGGGGGGGGGGCTACCATCCTAGGAGTTTAGGCGATGGTCCAGGGGCCGCCTAGGCCCAGGAAGCTCCTGTGGATCTAGATTGTCAGAGACGCTTTCTTGCTAATGAAATTACTCAGCAATGAAGTGAAATTTTATTGATTTTCTAAATCCCTTACCATGCAAACACAGTCGATGGTGGTTTCCTGCGATGCTGAACTTGACAAATATATGCATAATAATACCAAGGTTGTGGATACACTAGAGGTCACAATTTTTATACGATTTTAATGAAACTGACAATGTATAACCTAAAGATCTCGACTTATTTACCTTGTGGACTCTCTAGACCTCTCAGTTTTTATTTGATTGTCAAAACCGTTCACATATGTCACCGTTACATCATAATTACGGCAGAGTTCAAATTTAGTGAAAATCGGACCGAAACTGACCGACAAAATGGTCGCTACCCTTAAAAGCATGTAATACCCAGGTTGTGGGCCATCCAGAGGTTCGAATTTTCATCCAATTTTGATATATCCCAAAGGTCTGGATTCCTTTCGATATTGGCGCGTATTGGACTGTAAACTTTCTGGATTATGACCCTTGATTGTACGATATATCCCGGGGTTTTTTAGCTTCTGGATCCCCTAGGGTTCACCATTTTTATCTTATTTTCAAAACCGTTCAAATATATCACCGTTACACCATAATTTCCTGAAAATCGGGCCGATACTTTCAGTCAAATGGCCACTCCCCTTTACGCAAATAGTATAAAAGCATGTAATGCCAAGGTTGTGGACCATCCAGAGGTCAGAATTTGTATCCGATTTAGATGAACTTAAAACAAGTATCACTAGCTCTTGGATGAGTTCAGTTTTGGTGCGCATTGGCCTCCTGCCTCTTACGCAAAATGTGAAATATATGAATGAAGTTTGTGGACCTTCTTGAGGCTACAATGTTTGTCCGATTCATGAGATGAAACTTTAACTCTCTGTTGAGGATCAAAAGTTCTTGGATGAGTTCGACTTTGGTACGCAGCCAACCTCACATTCTAGAGCTACATTTCCTGCTTTTTACGCAAAATGTGAAATATGTATGAATTTTTAAGCTGTCCAAAGGGGCTACAATTGTTGTCCTATTCTGATGAAACTTAATAAATATGTCAAGGATCAAAAGATCTTGAATGAGAGGATGAACCCTATTGATTTTACCTCTCCCCATACATTCTTGAAAATGTGGGCGTCTTTTGCATGGCAACCGCTTGTTTTAAGTGGTCACAAATGATAGCAGTTTGAGCATATTCTCTTTTCATTATCTATATTTTAACTATTATAGCAATAACTGCCAGCTCTTTATATAATCTTACCTAATGCCGCTTTAATAATTGTAAACTCAAAGATGGAATGTTCTTTCTTTACTACGTTGTTATTACACATCTACGAGATTTACAACCTTACAACGATTCAGCGATTCATAAAGATCTCATTAATATTACAATAAACGCGTGTCATCTTTCTATCAAAATAGAATAGTTTGTTGTAAATAATATAAATAATGTGTATGAAAGAACAATATACTAGATGTTTTATACTGACGTCCAACAGAAACTATATATATCAACACTTTGAGAGACCACTGAATGGCCAAACAAAAACATTGATCGATTATAATAATTATTGAACTAATCACGGTAATAGTACGGCTGATTGAATAAAGTCTATATTTGGTGTGTTGTCCCTTGAATGTAGGATAAAGTAGTCTAATATCGTATATTGATACCTATATCTTGAAGGGACCAAGAGGAGATTAGTTACTACAAACATTTTATTATAAATCTCGCCAAAACACCCGTTCATTTCGCATTCATTTCATCACGTTTAGTGTAATAATTCAAAAATTATTCAGTCATTTGCAAAAGTTTAAGACCACAAAAGTTTTTTCCATGTTTTTCCCCCAATTGCTCACTCGGAATATCATTTCAGCTCTTTTTGTCGGACTGAGTGGGGGGTTTTTGCCCATTTTTAAAATGCTTGATTCGTTGCAATAAATCCTCGTGTTTATGGATGCAATCACTTCTAAGGACTGATTAAAACTGATGCAATAGGAGGAAAAAACAAAAAAGTACGCAAAAAACGCTTGGTGGTCTCAAAAATTTGCAAATAACAGTAATAATGTCTTTAAGGTTTGACATTCTGTTTTTAAAACTATGTTAACACTATTGCGCTGGAACTATAGTTTGACATGAAGTTGTCGAACATCCATTGTCCCACGTGAAATGTTAATGACACAGGTACAATGTTGTTTTAATTATTCCACTTTAAATATATTTACTCGGTTTTTTTTTCTCGACTAACCCATATATTAAATATTCAATTTTTTTTAATTTTTTTTTTCTTAGAAAAACACCTATAAATTGTGATATTTATACAATTCCTAATTACTTTAAACTCAAATTACCTTTTGTTATGCAGATATAAATGGTTTTAATATAGAACGCCGTAGTGATTTTAATACTTTAATACGACACCGTCAGTATAATGTAACCTCTTGTTCAACAATATAATTAATATTTGATCTTTATTTCGTTCAAGTTTTAATTCGTTATTCTATTGAAATCTAAATTTAGGCACTGTGATTGATTAAAGTCATTCTAGCCCATGTCAAAACATCTTTTCACTGGCTCGGTGAAAGGTCGGGTCAACTGAACAGAAAGTCCTGTTTAAACATTCTTTTTAGAGAGAGAGAAATGGGGTTTAACGTCCACTCGACACAAACTAGGTCAT